GTAAAATCTGTACATTCTCCTTCATCACCTGATGTATACCATTAGTATATATATTGAATAAGATTGGACTCAGGGGTGATCCTTGAGGGAGGCCTTTATAGGCTATTTGGGGACCTATGAGATCTCCTGTGTTAGGGGATCTGACAAAGATGCTCCTTTGTGTTAAGATTTTTAAGATTGCTTGTATGGACCATTTATCAATTTCAGCATCGTTTAATTTCCTCTCTAGGAGGTCTAATTGAACATTATCGTAAGCGGCTTTAAGATCAATAAATATACAGACAGCTATCTCCTTTCTGGCAAATGCCTGGTAAATATAACTAGATAATGCTACCAGATTATCAGTGACACCACGTCCTCTTCTAAATCCATTTAGATGTTGATTGAAGAACCTATCCTGTTCTAACTTATGCTCTATTCTATTTTTTATTATATTTTCAAATATCTTGCATAAGCAAGAGGAAAGAGCAATCGGTCTATAAGATTCGTGGTGAGACGGGTCTTTACCATGTTTTAGTAGTGGGACAATGATATGTTCCTTCCATTCCGCAGGTATCTCCATATCTTGTCTTAAAACGTCATTATAAATGTTTACCAGACATTCCTTCATTTTAATGGGTGTTTGGGAGATCATCTTGAACGTAATGTTATCTTTACCAGGGCATGATTCCTTCCTGTTTTTTAAGGCATAGTTGAATTCATACATGGAAATACTCTTTAGGTCGTAGTTGTTGAATGCTCCAACTGCTGAGAAGTCTTTAGCGATGCAGTGAGGGGGGGCGAGGCTGTCCAACAACGTCTCGAGCCACAACTCCCTTTCAGCGCAGTGTTTAACTTGTATATAACTATTGGAGTATGCCTTGATCACTTTCCATATGGTACTCATGGGTGTGTTTTTATCAAGGCTTTCAGTAAATTTTCTAAAGCTTTCCTTTTTCTTTCGTTTCATGATCCTTCTTGCTACCGCCGCTTTTCTTTTGTACTCCAGATAGTTATGATCGCTGATATTTTCTTTATATGCCCGAAGGGCCCTGCTCCGTTCATCCACCGCCACGCGCCATGCCTTATCCCACCACCTTGGTTTGGGAGTTGCTTTTCTCTTGCCCTTTTGGAATGACGTTTTTGGGATATGTCCCAATGCTGCCCTATTGATCTCGTCTACCAGACTTAGATAAGAGTTTACGTTCACCCCCTGATTGAAGCTCATGAAGTATCCGTCCCAGTCCGCCTTCTTTGTGTTCCATCTACTTATAGGGTTATGTACTGTTTGGGTGAACAAGTTAGAATTAATAAATACCCTCGTTGGAAAGTGATCACTCATGCCTGGGCTATCCACAATTTCCCATGAGATGTTTGGTCCTAGTTCTGCCGTCATTAAGGTGATATCCGGGCAACTTTTCCCTTGGTTCGGGGGAGTAATCCTGGTCGCTGACCCGTCATTTGCTATCAATGTATCATTCTCAGAGCATTTGGCTAAGATGTTCTTTCCTGTGTGATTATTGCGGGAAGAGCCCCAATTACTGTGTTGTCCATTAAGGTCTCCCAAAAAAATGCTTCTATTTGTCCATTTGTCCATAAACTCTTGGATATTCTCTCTCGTTAAATGAATGTCCGGAGGGCAATATGCAGTAAAGATGGACAAATTTTTTATGGAGATTCCTAAATACTGAACCCTCCAGTCTATATTAATATTAGTATTGCTCTGGGCAAATGGTATAGAAGAGCTGACCAGAATGGCTACTCCTCCCTTTCTATCCTGTCTGTCTTTCCTTACAATACTGTATGATGGGATAATAACTTTGATGTGCGGACTCAGCCATGTTTCATTAAGACACACTACGTCAGGTTTATAAGAATTGAGTAAAATTATTAATTCAGAATAGTTTCTCAGTAAACTTCGGATATTCCAGTGTATGATACTTAATTTGTTAACTTGGATCATTAGGTACCTTTAAGGTGTATGATGTGAACTCCCCGGAAGAACTTCCAGCTCCATATCTTCCGAGGAAATGTTATTTTCTGAATTACTTATCTGAGCGTTTCCACTTGTATTAATTTTTCCTAACACATATTGCGCTACCTCAAGTGAGACTCCTGAGTCCTCCATTATTTTCCTCATGATCTCAGTTAACGGCATAACTTCTACCTCATCTGAACCCATTGAAGGAACTTGATTAATAATTGGGTTAATTGGACTTCGACAGGGACTGGCATATAGTGCTCCCCTTGTATCTATCTTGTTTATCAGGGGAGGGGGTGATGATAGTTTTTTCCTCTTAAGTTTGCTTACCTGTGAGTATGTTGGTTTTTGTGTTAAAGCTGATTTTTGCGACTGTATATTGGCCATTCTTTGCCTGACCGGAATGCCCTCATTTATTAACTGCTTGTTCAGGGTACTAGGAAAGTCCCTGCTGTCTAGATGAGCTCCGACGAAGGAAGACTCGGCTGATTCATAATTCTTGGGTACTTTGTTTCTAGCTTCAAAATATGACGTGTTTTCTGCCGCCATTATTTCTTTTATAGCCCTCTGCCTCTTATATTCCGGGCAATTTCTATCTGTGGTGACATGATTTCCTTTACAGTATATGCATACCGCCTCCTTCTCTTGGCAAGCAGCTATACCGTGTTCCTCGGCACATTTCGAACACCTCTGTTTGCTTCTGCATTGTGTTTTCGAGTGTCCATACCTCATACAATTGAAACACATAATCACAGGGCTGACATATACATCCACCCTTACTTCGCAATATTCAATTTTTATGGATTTAGGAATAATTTTACCCTCAAATGTAATAATTACTGATTCTGTGTCTATATACTTTGCAGTGCCATCAACTATTATCTTTCTTTGTAAACGTCTAGCTTCAATTATCTTCGGTCCAGTTCTCCGTTCCGATACTATTTCCTCCATTTCTATGTTTTTATACACTCCTCTAGCAACTCCCTTACAGGAGACTAAGCTAGGTGGTATATATGCTTCTAGATTTCTTTCCTTTAATAATTTGCTAGAAAACAATTCATTGGCTGCGTTCCAAGAGCTGAATTCAATACCGACTCTGTTTTTTCCCTTCCTCGAGACTTTATTAACACCTATTATTCCAAATTCCTTAAGCCATCTTCCTAAACACATAGGGTGTAGGTTGCCCAAGTTTTGTGTAACCTCCTCATCTTCTTTTCTGGTTTCCACTATTACCAAGTATGGTCCAGATTCTTTATATGTGTATTTAAAAAACTTCTTAGGGGGGCCAATTGACTCCCCTGAAGAAGCTGCCATGCTTGTTAATTCAAGAAACTTAGGTTATGGAAAGCGATGCAGGAAAAAAAAGGGAATAAAAGCTAATTATATCAGAGGATTATTGCTCCCACTTACCCACTAATTATTTCTATCAAAATTGCACTTATTTATACTACTCCACTCGCTAAAAACACTTTTTAAATAAAGACTGCGAAAAGAACGTACGTCACTTTCTGGCGCCAATCTTCAAAAAAACTTATTAATACATATTGTTAATAGCGTAAATATCTAACTTAAAATTATTCGAGATAAGACGTAAAATGAAAAAATTAAATTATTTTGTGACCATAACCGTACTTGTTACTTAAAAGTCAACTCCAATTATTTACTTCAAAAAACCAGAATCAATTCAAGTTTTACATATTTTGGAAGTTTTCCTTCGTGCAGTTTGTCGTATCCCTATTGCTAAGAATAAACCCTATTGAGTCCAACAAGGACAGCTATATCAGTCACGTCGCTTGCATCTAAATTTTGTGACGTAGATATTTGGGCAGATTGCAAATGGCCGACGTGGTTTAGTAACACGACAAACATTTTTCAGGAATAAAATAGTTAGTGGTGTGCGTGTGCTTGTGTGCTTAATTTATTTGTAAAAAATATGTATCCGGGACCTGGAGGACGTAAGTCTTTTAGAGAAAATAGTTAATTTTAGGCTTATAAGCGAGTTTGTTTTGCATATCCAAGTGGGCATCTTAATTGGAGGTGTCATTCTTTGTTTTGGAATATTTCAGATATATCTCGTTTTAAAGTGTATTCTCCAGTATATTCTGTTTTTATGAGCAATTTGCATGAAATTCTTAGTAATGCCAATCATCGATTTTACGTTACTGTATTTTAGAAGTCGTTAAATTATAATAAAACGAGGTTAACCTAACATATAGCTATGCAAAATTAGCCATTTGATGGAAAATAAGGTCACCTTTTTTTATTGGATTTTTAGATGAGTTTGTTGACTGGAATTAATATTATTAAGTTGCAATAATTCAATTTAAAAAAATCAATCTACCTAACCGGCTTATATGTAACTGTCAACACTATTTTTTTATGACTTTTTTGTTTATATCTACATATTACATATTAATTTTTTTGTAAACAATGTTTTTTTCAATATTTATCCAAGTTGTATGTCAAAATTTTTTGTTTACATAATGAGATTATGGAAGAACATTATATTATAGCATTAGTATCGTTTTAATTATTCCTGTATTTTCATCCCCCAGTACAAAAAGTTTAAGTTGAATTATTATATCTTCAGTATGAAGATATGCTAATCTATTTTAAATTATATGTATATTAAAGTAACAAATACGTTATAATCATGAAATTCTATATTAATTAATAATTTTGCAATGAATGCTTGCTTTTTAATTTTAGTATTATCACCTTAGTATCATATTTTTATTTATCATTATTTCATATAATTATTGTGTGTTAAAATACTCTTGTAAAATTAATTTTTTGTATGCTTGCTTCTAGTGCATGATAGGTCATTGACCTTTCTATAGCACAGCAGACAGAGCAGTATTGATCTATAGACAAAGATAGATCACATTTGTGGTTCTTTTTGCACAAAATAGAGTACCTATAAAAATGTTAATTCAATTAATAGCTTAGTCGAATGAAGTACATTAAAAATGAATTTTCAATTAAAAAATTATAATTTCTTGAAATTAAATCTACAAAATGATTTCATCTGTTTTTACAGCAGGCACCTCAAGTGCCCCAATAGGCCAGACTACTACAGCGGTGGCCTTAATTGGGGCCGCAGGACCTTCAACTGGTCCATTGGCTGTTTCACCTCCTGCCGAACCTCCAGTGTTCCAGTGTCCACGCAGACCGAATTTAGGACGGGAAGGTCGTCCAATTGGCCTTAAGGCCAATCATTTTCAAATTTCTATGCCCAGAGGCTTCGTACACCATTACGATGTGAATATTCAACCAGATAAATGTCCTCGAAAGGTATATGGATAATTTATTTTTAGTTTATGCAGCCATCAACAGAATACTGTAGACTGAAAAAAAAACATCGTAAGTTGGCTTGGAAATGACGATTGATGAGATATTCCATGTAATTTTACATATAAAATAGCAGATATCTTTATTTCCAAGGTAACTCTGTCGCCGTTTTTTTTTTCGATCGTATCGACAAGATCATGAAAAAGAATTTACTTTTTACATTTACATGTACATTAAAGTGACAAAACTAAACTAGAATAAACCAGCAAATGTCGAGAATTTATAATCAGATTTTTTCGTGTTTTCCTATTCTCGAGAAAAATGAGTATTTTGAGAATATTTAGAACAAAAAGAAGAAAAAGATTGAGAACAAATAATTATTCAGAACATGTTATTCTTATTTCTGGGCATATTTACATTGCAGAGTAACCAGTGAGTAGTTAGTACTGGGGAATCCCTGAACTCCTAATTTTGGCGACAAACAGTGGGTTTTCTATAAATATTTTCTACACTTTAAAAAACGTTTATAGGGAACGCTCTCGTTAGTGCTTATACATGTTTAATATAAGCCCCGCACTCTTATAAGACCCCTCTTATTCCGCACGATGAACCTGTTCGCGAACGTCTCCTCTATTACAACATTAATGACAGGACTGTTGTCTGTCATTTTAATTTTGAAGTAGTTTTTTTCTTTCAGGAGTTTTTGTTTAATTATAATAAGTCAATTACTTTTATAGTTTTACACATTAAAATACAGTCAATATATTTAGAATTATCAGGCTAGCTAAAGTTTATAACAGTTGTCGTCTATCATTTTAACTTCAATGTTTTTTTTTGCCATTTTCTGTATATCCTCAGTAAAAATGAGATTCTATATACAGGGTGTCTCGATATTCCGTGGACATAGAACTACTACGTATGTTTGGAATCAAAATAAGTTTATTGGACACAATTTACCTCGATACAAAAGTGCTTCCTTTGTCCATTAGAGGGCATCAAGCTTTAAAAAAATAAACACATTTTTTTCAGATATTTTTTAAGAACCGTTATTCCGATTTGAACGAGATTTTGAGTCTGTATGTTTTGCTTTAACATTAGACTTTCAAAAAAATAACAAGAAAAAGTATGGGAAGGATGAAAACTAACCCCACCCCTACATAAATTTTAGTATAAATATTTTCCAACTCAACCGGCGACCGATTTTTTTTTCGCGTAAAATGGTCCTTCTAGTATTTACTCTTGTCTCTTGTAAAAAAAACGCCACTACGCTTACTCTTTGTGCAAAAAAGATATTTTTCCGAAGCTGACTTCCAAAAAATGTTTTTTTTTGTCATATCAAGCTATGGAGGCGCATAAAATTTATTATGCTCTAATAATCTAGTTGGCGAAAATAAGAAATTTTATATTAGTATTACATACATATATATATATGTATATATTTGACAATAAGCTTCATAAAAAGCTTAAAAGAATTGATAAATTTTAAATTAATTAACATTCAGGTATTTTTTTGAATGATGCCCTCTAATGGACAAACAAAGCACTTTTGTATAAAGGTAAATTATGTGCAATTATCTTATTTTAATTCATAAAATATGTAGTTGTTCTATGTCCACGGAATAATGGAACTCCCTGTATATATGTAGGCCTGCTTTGGAAAAATAAATTCTCTAAAAAAAATTTTCTTCAAAACCTATGCGATGTGGCGTTTTTTTTATGAGAGACAAAAAATATAGTAAGAGGGACCATTTTGCGAAAATTGAATCTGTTGTCGGTAGAGCTGGAAAATATTTATATTAAAATTTATGTAGGGGTGGGGGTATTTTTCACCCTTCCCGTACTTTTTCTTGATTTTTGTGAAAGTCAAATGTTAAAGCGCTTAGCAAATCATAGATACCCAAAATCTCATTCAAATCGGAATAGCGGTTCTTACAATATCTGAAAAAAAGTGTTTATTTTTTTGATGCCCTCTAGCGGACAAACTAAGCACATTTGTATAGACGTATTCCAAAAATACGTAGTTCTATGTCCACGGAATATTGGGACATCCTGTATAGCCGGAGGTACATAATATTCTGTGCCATTTATATTTGAAGGGTACAGGGGAAAAACTTGATAAGCGCCAATTTCATAATTTTAGGTTTTTTCAGTATTATAGAAGGCCTAACCGGTCTCTACAAAATGTATAAACTCTGCAGGACTATAAGTTGTTACATCCTATTATTATATATGCCTAGTAAAAATTCAGAATATACGAAAAGAACCTAATAACCACTAGGGCTGTGCCGATACTACCTTTCAGATACCGATACCGATACTTTCGATACCTAAAATCCGATACCGATACTGTTTTTTTTACTTTACTGATAAAGGTTTTTTTTACTGAACTTTTATTAAAAATCAAAACTCGTTACATAAGATTTAGCTATAACAGCTAACAACTTCAAAAAAAAGTTTATCTCAACCTAAGAGGTAAAAATTTTTCTTTAAAAATATTAATCTCTGGACATTTTCTGATGTTAGTGAAGTTCTTGTAGGTTTCACAATATGCCCTGCTTTGGAAAAAGTTTGTTCATAGAAGACAGATCCAAGTCAGAGAAGACAGACCAGTCTAAAATCTGCCGCACCGCTGTGTCAAACATGCCGGCTAATGTGCCACTAACGAGAGAGACCGGCCAACAATTTTTATTTATTACAACGATTTGACAGAAGAAAAAAGTATCTGAAAATCAGATACTTTGGTATATGAAGTACTAGGTATCGGCGAGTATCGGAAAAAAGTCAATATCGGCCGATACCCGATACTGAGTATCGATATCGGTTCAGCACTAATAACCACCAGCCGTCCAGTACTCTCATGTAAAATTAGTAAAATGGCGCTTATGATGTTTTCCCCTGGACCCTTCATTTGTAATTGATATTATAATAATGGAATGTTACAGGTTAACCGTGAAATTATTGAGACTATGGTAAAGTCGTATGGGAAAATATTTGGCAACTTGAAACCCGTCTTTGATGGTCGCAATAATTTGTATACACGGGACCCTTTACCAATTGGTAATTCCAGAGAAGAATTAGAAGTTACTTTACCAGGCGAAGGCAAAGATCGCCTGTTCAGGGTTAGCATCAAGTGGGTAGCACAGGTACGTTATACTTGCCATATTAATTATTTTAGAATTTTTTTTTTATTAATTTATCCGTAGGTATCGCTTTATGGACTTGAAGAAGCCCTTGAAGGAAGAACACGTCAAATTCCATATGAAGCTATTTTAGCTTTAGATGTAGTGATGCGTCACTTGCCTTCAATGAGCTACACTCCTGTGGGCCGTAGCTTCTTCAGTAGTCCTGAGGGATACTATCATCCATTGGGTGGTGGTCGTGAAGTTTGGTTTGGTTTCCATCAATCAGTTAGACCAAGTCAGTGGAAAATGATGCTCAACATTGATGGTAATTATTTTGTTATTTAAGTCGAATTTGTTTGAAAATATCCACGAAAAATATTCATTTCATGAAATCTATTTAATTTAATGATATCATCAAAGTTAGAAAGTTATTTTGCCCAAAGATTTTTTATTGTGGTCTGTCTGGCGAAAAAATTACTGCAAAAATTGCTTAAATCGATATTCAGTTAGCAGAAAAGTGAAAATTAGATATTATTTCTGATATAAGATATAAGTAGTTTTTTTCTCAGAAAAATAAGTAAACCTAGAGGGATTCTCATTTCATTTCACTTATCAGTTTAAGTAATACTATTTTCTATAGTTCTGGAAACTGGGTATTGCAACCCTGTTTCCAGAACTGTATTACAAATAATTTTATACATACTATATTCATTATAAGCCAGTGTTAACTTGGATGACGTCTGTCAAAATACTATAAACTGTACAATCCAAAAGTTTTACGATCAAGAGGTCTTAATCACATTCATTTTCATTCTATTTTCTCATAAGGCATGTTATTTTAATTTAAAATATACTGATGCATACTTTTATATAAAGTATGTGCCTATGAACATAATTTTTAACTCAGCATTTTCTTTTGCTAGTGTCGGCCACGGCATTTTACAAAGCGCAGCCTGTGATAGAATTTATGTGTGAAGTGTTGGATATCAGGGACATAAACGAACAGCGGAAACCTCTAACCGACAGTCAGAGAGTTAAGTTTACCAAGGAGATCAAAGGGCTCAAGATTGAAATTACCCATTGTGGTGCTATGAGAAGGAAGTACAGAGTGTGCAACGTGACGAGGCGACCAGCTCAGATGCAATCGTAAGTTGTTTACAAAATTATCTTCATTTTCCTGGAATATTTCCGATAATGTCCTTTTGATTGTATATTGTACCGTATGATCGAAAAAAACGGCGTCCAGTTAGTTGGCTGGGAAATGAACATCGATGACATTTCCCGTATAAATTTACATATAAAATGACAGCGATCTTCATTCCATAGCCATCGCTGACGCCGTTTTTTCTCGATCATACGGTATATATCCTAAACTGCCGGTAGAGTAAGGGAATTTATATTATTTGATATAATACAAATACATAAAATTTATTTGATTGTGTTGGATTTCTATCATTAATGGGCGCAAGTACTGGGGGGGAGGGCTCAACTTTAATTATTATAAAGAGAAATTTTATCCACAGTAAACCAACCAATGTCCTAACAGGTCATTAAAAATATCAACAGAGCTTGTAATTAAACATTTGTCTGTCTTGACTTTGTAACTGTTTTGGTAGTTTTCTACATTGTTTTCTTGTATTTATTTTTGATTTTGTTTGTTGTTATTCTTATTGGTTGTGATTTCTATTGTTCACACAAATGAATAAACGACTGACTGTATTTCACAGTGACTACCAAACAATAAGTTGGCTATAAACGATGGAATTTTTATCACTGATTTAGAAAGTAAAATATGTGGAATTATTTTAAGATGTCCAGTAGAACAAAATCTTTTTGACACGTCGTGTCAAGCATTATAGCTACTTATTTATAAACGATAGTCTTCTAAATTTAGAAGTTGTTTTTTATTGAATTTCCTTTCATATAACTGAAATGAAAAAAAAATCTTGAAATATTAGTGCTGTTTCATAAGGGGCGGACCGTCCCCGCTGATCGTCCTATTGCGCCGTTTCACATGGAGTAGATCGTCCGTTGGTTAAACAAGTACCATGAGTTTATATGAATATTTTTACATGGACGCAGATGATCCGCCCGGATGGTTTCGTATGTCGGTCACCCGCCGGACCTTTGTTTGGACGGATCATCCGCGCGCGGCATGCTGTAAAGACGTTTTACTTGCGCATATTGACAGCACAGGCGAAAGTACTCCGTCGAACTTCAAAAATAGATGATCCGCGCGGACCGTCTGCTTCATGTGAAAGAGCACTATATTTTTACAGTAAGAGAAAGATAAAACTTTAGAATTATGTGTAATGACATATTATGTGCTAACTAGTTTTATTATATTTTCTAATTTTTGTAAATGTACTAGACTTTTTTTACTAATCAGTGCTATTTACTCAAAATAATGTTAATAGCAATCAATCTTCTAATTAATTAACTTTAGAACATCAGCTATCAATAATGTTATTGTCAATTACTAATGTTATAAGCAATAAAATTACACATATTGGATTTTACAACTAAAAATATTTCAGTGTACATAAAATCATTTTCTACAAAGAAAAACTTTTTTTAATTACGCAAATTTGAAACTACCGTGTGTCATTTATTCATAATCACTTTCAATTACCATATTTAACTAAAATATTTTTTTTTACTTCAAGATTTCCTCTGCAACTGGAAAACGGACAAACAGTAGAATGTACAGTAGCAAAATATTTCCTGGACAAGTACAAAATGAAACTGAGGTATCCTCATTTACCATGTTTGCAGGTACATATTTCACAAATATATTGTGCATTTTTTGTTATATTAAATTTGAATCTACGTCATTTTCAGGTGGGACAAGAACATAAGCACACTTACCTACCACTGGAAGTCTGCAATATTGTCGCTGGTCAACGTTGCATTAAGAAACTCACTGATATGCAGACATCTACAATGATCAAAGCCACGGCTAGGTAAGGATTAGTACATTCTTCATAATGATTCTTTTAATATTATCAACATTATATTTATCATCTAAAAATTATACCTGTTTGTGACATTTTGTGACGAAATAGAATTGCATAGTAAGCAGTGGTAGTTTGTGAATTTCAAAAACGGGCAGTTCGATGACAGGCTTTCCCTTGACAACCAGATTAAACACATTAGTGACGTCATTACGGTATTTCGTAAATTACTGCACATTGTTTTTAGTATGGGTGAGGACATAAGAGGCGGCTTATAAGCGGCGGCGGCGTCGGCACCAGAGTGACCAACTATTTAAGTGGCTCCCCACTATATTTTATCCTCAAAACCACCAGAAACCACTAACATGCGGTATTTACTCATTTCAATTGATCGTTTCAATTGTCACCAAAAGAAGCAGGGTTATATCGGGCTTATTCTGCTTAAAAATTCACTTTATCTAAGTATTTACGCTAAAATTAAAAGTATAAATTGATTGAACAATTTTATTATCATGTAAGGGGCATGCCCTGTGGTCTCATTCCATAAGCAACCCAGTATCTAAAGTAGTAGATATATTATTACTTATATAAATGGATTTTTGGATTTTACATGACTACCGAGTAGATAAGCTCGGCACCGGGCTTGGATTCAACATAAATAACCACTAAAAAACCACCAGCCACTAGATTTCAAATTTTGCCACTAACAATGGGCAACACTGATCGGCACTTTGTTCCTACCCGCTTGTAACCGCTAAGCGCCGGCGCCGTCCGTGGGTTTTGTACCATCGAAGTCTCATTGAAGAGCCTACGCAGGCGGCACAACTCGCGGCGCACAGTGCGTTAGATGGTCATTCTAGCGGGACAACAATCTTGTATTTATTTATTTATTAATAAATTAAGTTGTTAATAAATAAATGAATTTAACTCTATGGTTAATATATCGTCAGTGAAACGTGATAACCTGCTAACTCCATTTTTTACGTTAATAAGTTTTTTATACCATTAGAAAGAGAAAAAAAATCTCTATAAGTAGGGAAAGCAAATACATTTTTTCTCATTAAAGAAAATTTGCTGTTTTAACTCAATAATATCTGCTAACTCCCACTGGTCTGAAATAGTAATAGATAATTTCCGTTATGGATCACGCATAGACTTAAAATAAAATATAGACTACACTATTTACATCTCAACGCGGACAAACAACCTTTTTTGTACACATGTTTACTTCTGGGTACAGTCGACCGAGCCTTCCTCATCCAGCCTATGTTGTCACGTCTTTAATATTATCAATATTTTTTTTTTGTTGTTACACCCATATATTGAGATATTAATACTACAGTTTAATAAAATAGGTTTTAATATTCCATAGATGTATTAAATAGACCTTATACTACTAAATTATAAGTGGGATACTGTTTAATAAGGATAAGTTCTTTACAATATGACAACACCGATTAGAGGCGAGGGAGCCTATTCATTCATTTATTACCTTGTAGTACGTGTCGCACGTGTGCGGTAAAGCTTTGTTGCCGCTATGTCCCCGGCTGTATTAACGCATTTTCTTAGCTTGTAGTCTTTAATTGTTTATTTTATTGACTTTTTCTGTTCAAGAACTATAAAATATGGTTCGTCAGTGCCAAATTTGCAAGAAATTTGACTTAAATAATCCATTTAAGTCTTGAAACAACTTTCGACCGGTAGGCAACTCTCAATATACCCATTAGGAGTAAGTGGCGTTGTTGTAGAAAGGCGCTTATTTAGATAATATTTTAGTAAAATGTAAAATCTGAATTTTTTCTCTTACATTACATTATTTACTTACTTACATTGTAACAAAATCATAATTATAACCCTGTTAATAATTAATAATGCTTTTATTAAAAATATATTCCGGTTTATTCTAAAATTATCTTGAGAATCTAAAATAACATACAAGAATTTTAAAATGATATTACATTATGAAGCAATATTTTTTAATATACCGGGTCGTCTCAAAAGTGGCTCGCCCCTATAACTTTTTTATTTTTTCAGATAAAAAAAACAGATTTGTATGTTAGTAGGTATATGACATAAATTAGGATTTATTGACGTATTCAATTGTTTTTGGTATCTTCCTGTTTCACGGAAATGATTACATCTTTTGATTTTTAAAGGCACCTTCGGTATATTGCTACTTTATTCGATAAAAAATGATACTCTGAATAGAATGGCATATCATATGTCAACTTTTGACATTGTCGCTTAAAAACAAATCGTATTTTAAATTTCAATCCAGGGTGCCATGGTGTTGTTAAAAACACTAAGGTTTAATCAAGGAGCCTTGGAAAAATAGTTTTGATCGTCTAATGGGTTTCGTGTCTTGTCTAGGCCGGTTAAAAGATGTACAAATCGTATTTTTAATCATACATATGTCAATTTTTTCAAATGGAACAAGGGTGACTCATTAGCATATTTGGAAAAAGCATTTTTTATGAATATATTGATACCACACACTTGGTATTTCGAGTCAAATTGCCGTTATGAACCGCGTGTTACAATTACAATTAAACCATATGCGAAAATGTTAAAAGTTGACATATTATATGTCATTCTATTCAGAGTGTCATTTTCTATCGAATAAAGTAGAAATATACCAAGGGTGCCGTTTAAAAATTAAAAGTTATAGTCATTTCCGGTGAAACAGGAAGTGACCAAAAACAATTGAATGCGTCAATCAATCCTAATTTATGTCATATACTAACATGCTAAATCTTGTTTTTTTATTTGAAAATATAAAAAAATTATGGGGGATGAGCCACTTTTGGGACGCACCCGAAAGACAGTACCGAGTTAAATAAATGTAGTTTTCATTTTATCCACTTCCTATCATCTTCCTTGCTTTAATGGAACAGATTTATGTTTTCTCTAATTTACATAAGACATCACTTAACCAGAAAAAAAATTACAACAATCATATTTTTTTTTCTCTCCCTGTCGCCGATTCTATTATATCTGTGGAATAGATCCTGTTTTGATTAATATTAGGGGTTGTAAATGTTTGACTAAAATTAATATTTTATTATTAATTTCAAAAATTAAGTAATTTCGATTGTAAAATTTCTTCTATAACGTGTAGTTTATTATTTTTATCCTTTTTGGACTCTAAGACGTTTTTTCTAAACTTTTATTTTAAAAACCTGTCCTAAATCTTAATAAAATATAAAAAAGTTTAAATACGATATATTTTTAATTTAATTATAGCTTCATTAAAATAAAAAAATTACCCGGCTATGAGACGGAGAGTTCAGGTGTACTTGAGAAACGAAAGACAGTGTTGTGTTTCTCGGCAGAGTCGTCAGGGAACGACCGTTACGACAGAGACAACCTATCTATCGCTCGTGTCGCACTCGTTACAACCTAAATCAATAACACAACAATAACAAGATATTGTCTGACCGCATGTTCCAGCTATTTATGAATGAGATGCTCAGTCTATATTTTATTTTAAGTCTATGGGATCACGCTAAAGCGAACACACGGATTCTTAGTCGTATGTTTCTTTAGTACAGTACGTCGATCCAGGGTCGCACTAGGCCAAAGGGGCCCGGGTGGCAATGTAAGGAGGGGCCCTGTGGATTTTTTTTGCGTATTTTTTCGCCTTACGTTTTGGTCAATTTTTCCCTATTATATGCAGGGTGAGTCTTAAATAAGTGCAAATATTTTTAGGGGTAGTATATTTCGACCCAAGAAACACGATTATGATGTTTTTTGCGCGATTTTTTTTTAATTTTTGAATTTTTTAAAAAAAAAAATTTGGATTTTTTTTTAATTTTTAGTTTAAAAACATACTTTGATTGTAATATGGCAACATAGGTAGATTAAATTAAAAGAAAGAAAATCCAATGATTCTCAAAATTATAGCAAAAAATTACTTACCTACTAAAAAATTGGAAATTTTAAAAGTGAAATAACTCGGTTGTTTTGTATTTATTTGAAAAAACGGTAAAGAGAAAATATTATGTTTCTTTTATCGAAATTTACCAGCCCTGAAAATATTTGCACTTATTTAAGACTCACCCCGTATAGAAATCAAGGAACTACACTAATGCAAGGTAAACCAATGCAATACAAATGCCATAATGCAATGCAAAAGCAAATATTTTTAAGAATAAATAATGAACTAAAAAGGGGACCCGTGAAGGCTGGGGCCCCTCTATTAGTTTGGTTTGTATAATATGGCCAGTCCGACCCTGCGTCGATCCGTTCTGTAAATAGGTAGAGTATCCGTAAAGGGTAAGGTGGGTTTGGTTAAAACTCGCGAATCGACAGTTCTCTTTATGGTTAATATAATTTTTTTCCATTTTGTTTTCAGGTCGGCCCCAGATAGAGAGCGTGAAATCAACAATCTAGTCCGGAGGGCGGACTTCAACAACGACGAGTACGTGCAGGAATTCGGTCTGACCATCTCCAATAACATGATGGAAGTGCGCGGTAGGGTTCTGCCGCCCCCTAAACTGCAGTACGGTGGGCGAGTGGCTTCCCTCAGCGGACAGGTGGGCTGGCACGTTAGTTTCCTTGTTGTATTATTTTATTTTAATTTGGTTTTTAGTACGTAGGCTTGTTATTTTCAGAAATATTCAACTATTTTTAAATATTCTTATTGGGTTAGACAAAGATCTTAAGTATAGTTCTTTAAACGTAACTTTTCGTTGTTGGCAAGTGGCTCTTCTTATTACCCAAGATTAAAGATTCAGTCCTCAGCTGATATGTGTGGCCTTTTTTATTTATATAAAAATATTTATCTGAATACCACCATCGAGCCGACACCACGAGGAAGTCTCTCAAATAGCTTATTTTACATACTAATTAAAACAACTGTTTCTGTTATATGTGCTTTTGCCCGACAGATTAGGGATATGACATTAAGAATATTACGTTTTTTTACAATTTAATTAATTCTTTATTATATAATCTATTATGTTACTCTATTTAGTTATACTAAACAACTACTTTTTTTAGGGGTAACAATTTGAAACTAAATATATTAAATATTTTTTGCGAAATAGTTTGAATTTAGCCCGACGCTGGTTTTACTCAAATTAATTAATTTAATTTTATCTGTAGAAAATTACAAATTCATATTGGAAAAAGTTATGCAAGAAGAACAATATTATCAGATTATTTAAGAATAGGCATTATGTTGTAATTTTTGTATACATTTTTTTAATAAATTCTTATATAGGGCCCGGTAATAGTGTGTAGGGCATCTGTAGCTCCTAAAATAAAGAAACTGAGGAATTTTGTTTAAGTGCAAACCTAAAGTACGTACTAGGATGTATCAACACCCTGTATATTATTGCATTTTTGGCTTCCTTTCCGATCACTTTATATAATCCTAAGACATGAGTAAATATATTTCGATAATTTCAGAGATATTAATAAATAAATAAAAAAATTATATATTTTTCAGCTTTTCTTAAAAAAGTTATTAATAATACAAGAACTGTCCTGAAATCAAAACTATATTAGGTATTTACTTTAGATAGTCAAAATTCTACGCCAAACTTTCTAAAATATAAAATAATTATGATCATTGTTAGTTCCCAGTCATAATTAGTACGCAGAAAGAAAAAAATTGTGGGTGTTTGGGAAGGCTCGAAAGGAAACAATGTTTTTGCGACGTTTCGCGACTTTATTGTCGCTTCTTCAGGCACTGTGGGAGAAGCAGTTTTTGAAGCAAAAATTGTGTGTTTTTTCCGTGTGCAAAGTTGTTGTTATGGCAATATTGCCAGCCTTGATATTGCCAAATTGAAGTTTTGTGGTTGTTTTGTCTAAACCTGTTAATTATTATTGTTTATACATATATACCTACTTGTGTACTCAATGTATTATTTTTCTAGTTTTTAATTCGATCTCAACGAAACGAAACGCAATTTTTTTTATATGTTTCTTTAATTTCTAATACTTTTTTTTTATTCTTTTATCTTTTATTTGTTGACAAATAATTTCAAAAAATTATTTAATTTTAATTACTATCAGGCCCACTTTTATGATTCCATTTGTTTGTTTATGGCGATGTCGACCAGCCTGCACATAAGAAATTGACTAGGGCTCTTAAGAGCATCAGAAACACGGGGAAAGAAATTAATGATAACAAAAAAGCAATCCTTTTTTGTTACTGAAATTAATTCAAAGGGGCATTACATTAGGCAAAAAAATACCCGTTAAGTTTACATATAAAATAATCTTTCTTCGTTTCTTTAAATTGAACACCCTGTATATTATTTTTTTAATAGATGGAGAATTAAAAATGGACATTTTTTCTATTTAGAGCATTTCAAAATTTTTAACGGTTTCGCAGATATTCGCGGTTTTATATTTCATAAGGCATTTTCAAAATAATTTTAATTTTAAAAAAAATCATCCAGATCCACTCACACTTTTTTGAACCACCCTATAGATGTTAAAATATTTTCCTGAAATACATCCTGGTACATATTTTAGGTTTGCACTTAAACATAATTCTCAAGATTTTTATTGTAGGAGCTACAGATGTCCGACGCGCTATTGCCGGACCCTAACCTAAACAAAAGTTCTTTGTTAATCAATTGGGTTATCAATTCTTATCAATATTGGTGGTATTCTTACTGAATTCACTGAGAATTTACACTGATATATTTATCTTTAGGCGCTATTCTTTCATTTTAAACAGTGTTTTTACAATTTAAGTTTTGCATTTTAGTTATTAAATAGCAAGGATGTCTCAATTATGAATATTTTGGTAACTTTGTATTGTAATTATCATTAGTTTCGACCGACTATTAAAAGAAATTTTAGCTTCTTGAAAATTGTTTGAACTACGTTCGACTTTTTTCGCGAAACGAAGTTAACTTATAGAATAACCATTTTTATAGTAAAATTGATTAAATCACCGCATAATTAGCAAATGCTTGTGATCATTCCATTTTTTTTATATTTTTCATTGGGAACAATGGAGGAGACTTACATGCTTATTGTAGATCTTATTTTTTAATAGTTATTTAGTCATCAGTCTTATAGAGGAAATTATGCAAGATTTGTCCCTTTAAACATACACCCGTAGTTGTCTCTCATATTTGATTGCCTTTTCTAAGTGTCCTTCCTTTAATTTTTAATCTTTGCTTCCACATCAAACTTAAATCTACAATACTAGTGTGGGTTTACATGCATCCGTCATGCTTCGTCCGTCGTTCTGTCACTCCAATCAAATTTAGGTATAGTTTATATCAAATAAACTTGCCTACTTTTACATATTTTCATCAAAATCTTTTAGGAAACAAAAATAAATTAATTATAAATATATAAACAGTTATTTTTTACATCAACAAAAATCAGTCCTTAATAGCACTTAAGGGACATAAAGGGCCATTACTACCGCTTTCCATTTCAAAATATTCTAATAAAGCTGCGATGAGTTTTTTTACGGCTGTTAAGCTATCTTGTACACTTCGCACCAAAACAGGTTTTAAAAAGAACAATGTTCGACTGCATGGCCAGCATTTTTAAGCTAAAAGTGTCACAGTAACACTTTATTTAAACCAAAAACTCGTTATACAAAACTAAAGTGTCAAAACGAATGACAATGTCAGGAAATAAATAAATAAATGTGGAACTTGACATTTTTTACAGCAGAGCTACCACCTGAATCCCCAGCGCGAAATTTAAATTCCAATTAGTCAGCTTGGCGCCGAATATGTCCACGGTTGGCAACAATGAATTTAAAAATCGCGCCCTCCATGAGGTAACTAAAAGTTTAATTGATATCAGATATACATATGTGCTGTTATTTTTGAAATGATTGATGGACGACATAAGACGGATGGCGTGTAAATCCATACCTACAATTACACTGGCAGTTAAGCGATGTTGCCAAACTAAAATTCAGCGAAAAAGTTGCTATAACTATTTCGACTTTTCATGTCAAATTGACTTCTTATTTGAGATACTAAATTAAATTACATTACATCAGAAATGTCAAAAATTGCAAGCTAACTATAGTTTTTATTAAACGTTTCCCTAAATTATGGGTACGAAAATTTTTTAAAATATAGAGCTATTAAGGTGCGCTCACGCCGGCTGCGCCGCTCAAAACATTTTTTTAACATGTACTTTTGAAGTGTATTTTTTTAGCGCGCACAAAAGTACATATATGTTAAAAAAATGATTTGCGCGGCGCAGCCGGTTTCAACGCACCTTTATATAGAAGAATTGGATACGCCACATTGTATATTCTTAAAAAATAATAATAATAATAAGCAGTTCTACTGCAATAGATAGCACTAGATTTTTTTTAAACTATTTTTTATCAAAATTACTTCATCTAAAGGCGCATTCTCACGACTGGTGTATTTGACAAATATTTGATATTGGAATATACTTGCCATGCCGTGAGAACGGTTTCTTTGGTCACTCGTCGCGTCCCCACTCTGTCGGTAAACGTAGCCCAAGTCAAACGATTAATCGTACACTTGCCAAGTATACTTGGCCAGCCTTAGCCAGCCTTGTTTACACTTGCCGAGGCGCAAAAAAAACGACTGCGCAAATAATTGTACTGTTATAGCATATGTCCGATTTATTTCCGGATTATAGTGTTTTTCGAGTTAATTGCGAATAATTTAAAACGTTAAAACAATAATAGATTATGTAATATGAAATTTACATTAATAACTTTAATATTGGCGGCATCTAAATCGTTCCCACAGCAATAAATGGAGTGGACAAATGAAGACTACACGGGAAAAACCAGATATGTCACATATTCATAGAAATTAAGATAGCGACTTTATGAACAAATGTTAACGTCAGTCGAGAGAAAAGAAAGCAATAATACGCTTAGTCCCAAAGATATTACATCTTGGTTATTTTGCCGTACAAAGGAAAAACCAGAGTAGTCCACGTGTGAATGGCAAAAACCAGAGATATACTGACGCATGGGCGACAAGCATGCATCTTGCAATTAGTATTATACATATGTTATAAATTTATGTATTGTAATAAAAACCTACTTAAATATTAATTTTCTCCCTACAACAAAAAAATAATAGTTTAGATTTAGGTTTTATACAACCTTTAATTGGACATCCCTGGTTTTCCCGTGTTTTGTTTTGCATTTTGACATTTTTATTTCGGTATTTCAGAATATGGCGATAATTCACAATATTAATAATTCAGAATTGGTAGTAATTTATATTTTTCTAATTATTCAACCGAAAATAACATATTTCTTTAAAAACACTAAATTGCATTTTTCTCGGCTCCAATTAAAATGGACAAAACCGGGTTTTCCCGTGTAGTCTTCAAATGATGTTATTTTGGAATTTATGGATTTATACGAAAATGAGCCCTTCATATGGATGGCCAAACATAAAGAATATAGAAATCGTATTGCAGTGTACAGTAAAAGAACTTAAAAGGAAAAAAAAAAGAATCATTAGCAACGACAATTTCGGGACGACCGGTATGCATCGATGCAACTATAGTGTTTACTTGCCAAGGATTTAAACAATGTTTGTGCTGGCGTACTTGTTGAAATGGACACGTCGTGTGAGCGCCTCACTTGCCGATGTTGTTTACAAAGTGGGGACTGGTGGGGATACCTGTCATGTATGCCAATATTGGCGTACTTGCCAAGTACACCAGTCGTGAGAATGCGCCTTAATATCCAATTAGTCCCATTATTAATATCAGTATATTATGGCCCAGAATTCAATCATAGTGAAGGAATACCGAAAACAGTTATTGGTCTGAATTAGCCAGAAAAATACTTTATTGAATATTTTATCATCAAGGAAGTAAGCATAAAAGATGAAAGCTCTTCTGTTCTTAAGTTTACTAACTGAAAAACTTTTATTAGATAGTTAAGGAAATAGTTCCTTTGAAAATTATGTATTTATTTTTTATTTTTTGTTTCTTACATTCACTATTGCTTTTAGTTGAAATATTCTTATTTTTAGATTCTTTATGGTAGTTTGATGTTGGTTTTTACAATTTCATTAACTCTAGATTTGTGCGTAGTACATGTATTAATTGATGTTGTATAAGTTTTGTATTTTCATCTTTAATTTTTTACATGTATTAATTATGGACGTGTATTTGTAATTGAATTTAGGTTTTATTTATACTTACGTATTTGATTGATTGATTTTTTATTACTTTGTCAGTGTTACACTCATCAAAGCAAAAATTAGACTGATATAAAGTCATTAACTTCTCTAACATAACGTCTCTTAAATTATACCGACTAATTTTTTTATTATATGTTAATGTTTCTAGTTATAATAATAAAATATTCATTATAGGGATAGGTCTGCAAAAGATATTTTTAGAAAGAATTTTATAAATTATTTATTTATCTATAGCCTGTCCAACGAGAAAATATTTGCCAGTGACAGCTGTAAGTAATTTTTATTCTAAAGTAATTTTCTCTATCAATTTTTGGATGTCATCTGTCAGAATCTTTTTTTTTTCTAGCTGGACAGGCTTTACACATTATATACTTTTAACATGTGTTTAAATTATACCAGCTTTGCTAATTTATTACAGAGTAAACAACAAGCATGTCCAAACCAGGGCGTATGGGACATGCGCGGTAAACAATTCTTTACCGGAGTTGAGATCAGAGTATGGGCTATCGCATGTTTTGCACCACAGCGAACAGTGAGAGAAGACGCTTTAAGGTATATTTTTTGATATTTTTATCGTGTCAGTTGTTCCCTTATGTTCCTAAAAAATATAGGGGAATTATTTTAAATATAATATAAAACATTACAACATTTTTATGTAAAGAAAAAATATACAGGATATCAGTGCATAAAATTGTGAAGGCGATTTCTTTTTCATGTAAAATTTTTTGTTTTGACATTTCCCTACAAAGTTATTTGCTTTGACAGAGCGACTCAAAATCATATAATAATTTTTTAAAAATTAGTTTATGCAAAAAAGTTGACGTTTAGCGTCTAGATGACCCAAATCAAGTCATGTTTTTTGGTTGGGTATGGTATATAGAGGGTGTTCAAACAGCTGCTCCATTGTAATATTTTAATAGTACTATTTTCAATTAGACTGTCACACACGAGTCGTCTCAATCTCGAAGCGGAGGCGTCTCGAATTTGGAACGAATCTCCCTTCGCTCTACTTCCTACGTAAATAATAGGAGGTCCACGAACGGGTCCTTTAGCGGTCGACGCGGAGTCGAAGTGATTGATACTATTATTTACCTACAAAGAAGGTGTAGTAGAGGGAGATTCGCTCGGAGTTCGCTGTTCTGTCATTTGTTGAATGTCGTCTCTCGAAAGTTTTCCTGAGTCATTGGACAGCTTATAAATCCCCTATATTTTCAAAAAGTAACCACCTCGCATTTTTTTAACATTTACGTTTAGACCATGTAAAATACCTTTATTCCATTTTTTTTTAAGTTAATTAAATACTTAATAATAAATATACTAGCAACACCTTCCTTGACTATTATATTTGAAGGGTCCATGAAAGAAAAACATGATTAGCGCCAATTTCTTAATTTTAGGGTTTTATAATATTACAGTAGGTCTAACTGGTCCCTACAAAATGTATAAACTCTGCAGGGCTATAAGCTGTTAAATCCTATGATATATGCCTAGTAAAAATATACTCTTTGGGCTCTCTTTTAAAATTAGTAAAATGGCGCTTGTCATCTTTTTCCTCTAGACCCTTCATTTATTTATTATATTATTTATATCTTTTGTTAATAGATAAATCCAGCATTATATGCTCCTTTTTTATTAATCTATTCTTTTTAAAAATAACGTGTTGCTATATCTGTTAAATTTGTTCATTAAGACAGTTATAAATGGACAAAAAATACGGTTTTTAATCGAATTTTGAATACCTTTGAGTGAAAAACGTAGTTCTTTCAATTGACATTCTTTCTATATTATTTTCATTTTTAAATACGAAAAGGAGCAAAACAGTTTTAGTCAAAAATGTTTTTGAAACGCTGTTTAGTCGCTAGGTTTAACACGGGTTTAGGGTCACAGTCAGGCTAAGGGATATCAATCGATAGATTTTGTCAATAAAATATTTTGCTTCTCTTTGAAACATAATGTTTTCATAAAAGACAAAAAGGTTTTTTTTGCCTGGAACAAACATGTTTTTAACTAAAACAGTTTTGCTATTTCTGTGTGCTTCCAGCCTAATGTCTATTGTTATATCACTTATAAAAAACAGGCTTCACAAAAAAATGCATTAAAAACTTAATTTGTGGTGAATATTTCAGGAATTTTACTCAGCAATTACAAAAGATCTCTAACGACGCTGGTATGCCGATCATTGGTCAGCCATGTTTCTGTAAGTACGCCACAGGTCCAGACCAAGTTGAACCCATGTTCCGATATCTGAAGACCACCTTTGCATCCTTGCAATTGGTTGTTGTAGTATTGCCTGGAAAAACCCCGGTTTATGGTGAGTTATTTTTAGTCTTCCTCTATTGGTTTGTGCGACTAAATTCTTGAGTGAGACTTGGTTTTTGAATACGGCGCAATTCTTTAATTTTTAACATTGTAAAACATCCAATTTTAAAATCATACTCTTCAATCAAACAGAATCTCAAAAACTCTCTCTCGAAACTCTCTCTTAATCAAACAGAAAAATGAAAAAACAAAACAAAAGAGTGAAACCAAAGCAATCAAAACGCTAGATCTATAGCTAGACATTAACCTAACTTTTAGGTCCACTGACCGTCAAATCATTACTGTCGATCCCTCCATTCAGGCAAACTTCTTTTGAAAAGAAAATCAACCTTTATTTTTGCTTTTCGATTAGGTAATAAAAACTAGGTGTTTGTTGCTTGTTTTTTTTTGTATGCAATAAAATGTAATTTTATTTTAAAAACAGTACCTAATCGCTGAACTTACGTTGGGGAAAACAATAACACATAAAATTTGGTAATGGATTGCTTCTTTGGGAAAGTAACCTATAAATAGTAATACATAATGTTTTGAACCTCGTTATACGGGATTTTCTATAGAACGCATCTACCGCGTAAAGTGGGGTATTATCGTTGATTGAGGAAATAAGAAGATGCGCAACCTTATGGAAGATTTCGTGGCACAAAACCTGGCCGAGATGTAGCTGACGTCAGCCTGTCCAAGATTCGAAATTTAGTTTAGCTTTGCGCCACTGCGCGCTGATACTGGCTTACAGCGGAGCGGATAAAGAATGCTGTACCGTAGTTCTGCTTTCCGTGGACAGAGGGGGTGTTTGCCGGAGACAGTGTTGCCAGAATTACTTATTAATCTGTATATTTACGGATTTTGGGTACAGTACGTTAATAATACGGATTGTCTATCATTAAACAATTTAATATAACGTTATATGTGATTAAACAAAGAACGGCGTCAGAGTTGACTTGGAAATGAGGATCGCTGTTATTTCATATGATAAATATTATGGTAAATGTCAATAATTGTCATTTTTAAGCTAATTAAACGATTTTTTTCGATCTTTCAGTACCTATAAAAGAATTTTTATTTTTTTGTTTATTCTATGTTTTAACACGAATAAATTTTCAATACATAAACGCGGATTTTTCATCCAAAGATATTTTTGTCAAACGTATTACAGATATTACAGATTTTAATATGGGGCAAATATAACACTGTCGCTTTCGGATCCAAACCGTCTTCGATATGCCTTTGCTGGCCGAATTAGGGAAAATAAGTGTTTTAGCATTGCTCGCAGAACGATTGGCGTCTCCACCGTACAGCACTTGAGACGTAAGGGGAAATCAAATCAGCTTTGTCACGAATTCGCTCATTAAGTTGCATATTTTCCCAATTCTTTCAATCAACGGTATTATTGTATTTAGCAATAACCGCCATACTTTACAAATTTACCTCGTTTTCACCGGGATTCATGTTTTAATAAACATCTAAAACCGTCTAACGGCCGTCTTTCTTTCGTCAATTGTTTATAGCGCCTAGGCAGTAATTTCGTCAGTTTGTAATGATTAAACCCCTTTTTGTTTTAGCCGAGGTTAAACGGGTAGGGGATACCGTCCTCGGCATGGCCACTCAATGTGTTCAGGCGAAGAACGTCAACAAGACGTCGCCGCAAACCCTGTCCAATTTGTGCCTCAAGATAAACGTCAAACTGGGCGGCATCAACAGTATCCTTGTACCATCCATTCGTCCGAAGATCTTCAACGAGCCGGTCATCTTCCTGGGCGCGGACGTCACCCATCCGCCGGCCGGCGACAACAAGAAGCCATCGATCGCCGCGGTCGTCGGTTCCATGGACGCGCATCCTTCCAGGTACGCCGCCACCGTCCGAGTCCAGCAACACCGCCAGGAGATCATTCAGGAACTCAGCTCTATGGTCAGGTAAACACCATTTCATACATATTGTTATGGAACTCACCTAATTTATTAAACAAAATATAAATATAAATAAGTAAAAACTAATTAAGTTCTTAATAATACTAACTACTATAGTCTGTCCAACGAGAAGATCCTTGACAGTGATAGATGTGTCTGTCATTTTAATTTCAAAGTAGTTTATTTTATTTTACAAAGAAATAAGTTGGTACAACTGGAACGCATAGCAGGAAATATTTAAAATTTGATTGACAAGATGACAAGTGATTACTTTAAAATATTGTGAAAAAAACTGTATAAAACTGAAAAAATGTAATCGAGTTATTTTATTTAATAAAAACGGTATGTGTTAATACAAAACAAACAAGAACAAGACACTACATACCAAAAAAATATAAAAAAGAACTATTATTTACTTTCAAGCTTTATGAAACTACCCGCATTTATGATTATATTTATCAATATAACTTATGTACAAATACAAATTTGTAATATTCCACAGGAATAAATAAAACAACACAGGTAAATAAAACAAACTATTTTATTAATAATAACACCTACCAAGTTTTATACCTTAAAGGTTGATTAATTAACTTTAATCTTATTTTTTTTAAACCAGTACCGTTAGTACGTGTTTAGTTTGATCCTTCTACCATATACGAGATGCACTTATCTACGACGAAATGGTATACAAACTTTATCGATGGCAACTTCATTGGTGTATAAGACTTTCTGCCTGGGCAGTCTACAGTTAATTTTCACTCGATTTTTCCTCCACTTGACTTCAAAAGACACAAAACACACGTAATAATACGAATCAAAATGCATCATCTTCCAAAACGCAGGGTATTTAACAAAAGTTGACACAAAATTATAACCTATAATTTGGCAAGACTTTGACAAGCGTCAAATATGACAAAAATCTAAAGGCGAGTTCATACGCATCGGCGTCCGTTTGTCCGTTCATCGTTCCGTCAAACCAATAAAATTGAAATACGATCTGTCATTTTTTAAATAAACCAATAAAACTGGTTAAAAACAACAAGACACGACGCATGACGGATTTATATTTAAACCCATCCATAGATAACTTAAAAATTATTAGAAACTTTTTTTAGTAAAATAAATAGATTGGTATGGGACGTCATCTGCTTTTCTTCTGTCATCGTCTGTCGAAATCTTACCTGAGAAAAAAAACAGAGTATAAATAATAATCTACAATAACGATTAATTTCTGAACCAAACCAATCGATACTTGGCGATTTTAATCTTTATATATAATCTAGTCACCTTGTACTTAAAAATGCCTTTTGGAGGAAAGTTTTGGTATAGTTCTGATTTTTCTTCTATCTATTAAGGTGCGTTAACAACGGCTGCGCCGCTCCGCGCCTCGCCGCGTAAAACATTTTTTTTAACATGTACTTTTGAAGTGTATTTTTTTTAGCGCGCACAAAAGTATATGTTAAAAAATAATGAAATTGGCGCGGTGCCGCTCAGCCTGTGTGAACGCACCTTTATGTTATGTGTTTTGGGGTGCTGAATTCGAATCTGATGTTTGCTAACAAAATTTCGTGACGGAACACGGAGAAAAATGCGAAAAAGTCGAAAAAAAAACTGGATTTTTTGCGGTTTTTTATTTATGGCTTTAAAAATATCAAACTTTCGGAAATAATCTTTCTATTCTAAATTACAGTAAATATAATTCTCTATAATTATTGTTAATTAATGGTTTTATCTCTGAAGAAAACTGTTTAGGTTCAACAACTAGTTGAAAATTAGCGTTCTTTGGTTGCCCCGCCTAATACCTACTTTTTGTACTCCGATAGGCTTCGTGTATTCTGCGCCGGTGCTGCCACCATCGAAGAATATCGTAAACAACTAGTACTTACAAATCCACGGGTTTAAATATCAAGAATACGAAAAATTTATTATTTAATTATTCTAAAAGTGTTTGGTTAATATAAAATGGTTATTTTAAAATTCTAAAAATAAAAATAAAAAAGTAAATATTTTGATATCTTCAGAAGGTCTAACTTGTATTATAATTTATTATTCCAGTTAAAAAAACTTTTTCGATGTGTTCAGGCTACGGTAGCGAGCATAGTTTTAATCACCGGTTTTGCCAGTGGAGCATAATTGGGGCTATTTCGGCTAGCTATAATGAAATTCTTTAAAGTTACCTAATTATAATTTTAGAAGATATTTATAAAACATTTAATTGCTAGTTGATTAAAAAACGATGTACTTAAACAGCCGTTAAACGGTAGCCTACTAAAATGCCGTTAATAGATATTTTGACGTCGTTCATGTCGGCGGAAAGTAATGCCTGGCCTTAAGCTTTCTGCAAGAGTACCTGTGGGTCAGTGGCTGAGGCTATCGCTTCGTAAGCGAATGGTCCGGGTTCAAATCTCACGCCGACCAAGACTTTTTTATATTTTTTTTGCTTATAGAGCGTGATCTTATTGCATTGGTTTCACTCTTTTTATTTGGATTGGTTTAGTAATTTGGCGGGTTGGTTAGCGTAGTTATTTGGAGGGTGTTAATTCATTGGTTAGTTGGTTATTTGGTGGGGTTGGTTGATTTTTACCAATTTATATTTGTTTTTTATATTTTTTATCAGTGTCGAGGTTAGTTGCGTTGGTTAAGTTGGTTATTTGGTGGGGTGGATAGCGTTGGGTAGTCCTTATAAAATTTCTATATTTCATAAAGCCGTCAAGTGCGTCACATCAACGACGTCATACCTATTAACGGCATTTTAGTAAGCTACCGTTTAACGGCAGTTTAAGTACAGCCATTAAAAAAAGTATACCATTGATATTGCAAATTATATTTTATCCTCTCATAGTATGTCTATTTAATTTTTTGATTATGTAACGAGCACTTTGTTTACTCACTTGTTTCATTGAACTGCTTGAATCCATTTTTGCTTTTGATCAAATCAGTGTAAGAAATTATGAAGCTATAAAATATTGTTTCGGGAGAGTTGAATATCCGGGAAAGTTGAGTTATTGAATGTTATTGCACCCAACAACGCCTTAATTACGCTCTCCTTTACGCGTTAACATTTTTTCGGCAATTTTATTAACATTTGAAATTGTCACAACCACAACACAACGCCTAGTTCGAATTCTTTTTCACTTATTTTTACTACCCGAAACAGCGTTACATTACACAAACCTCGTACCTGAGTGTTTTATAGCCTCCATAACTGCACTAGCAAAAAACTAAAATACTTTCATATTATGACAAAACCACAATTTTAATATTATTTTAATGCGATCAACATGTACTTGTGAAACACTGACGACACACATCACAAGTACAGTTGGTTCCAATAAAATTGATTACGATTTAAAACCCATTTTTATTATTTCGGGCAGTATATTCTATGATACCTGTTCCCCATTTCTCTACTTATGTCATGCTGACGTTCTGAAAAATTTATTTGCCACTTTGTCAAAAGCATAGTATTTTTCTCAAGTAAAAATGGCTCCACATACATCGGAAGAGCTAAAAGCAACAATAATAACTGAACTGGAAGATGGCTGGTTCATCACAGCAGTTGCTGATCATTTTAATAAAGGCAGAGCAACAGTTTTTCGAATTAATAAAAGGTGGAGGCAGCAGCAATCTGTTGAACAGCAAGGGGGATCCGGAAGACCTAAAATCAGTACAGCTGAAGAGGACGAAGCGCTTATTCAGGAACTAGTGGTAAACCCCTTTCAAAATGCGAGAAATGCTCGAATATTGTCTGGGTTTCCTGGAGGAAAAACCACGGTTTGGCGTAGAATTCAAAATTCTCAATTAAACTATAGGATTGCTGCAAACAAAACCGACCTTACCCCACAACAAAAGCAGTCCCGCATCATTTTTCCATTAAACCATATACACCGAGATCAAGATTTTTGGAATCGTGTCGTGTTTATTGACGATAAAATATTTCAGTCCTCCAAAAAAAGGAAAACTTGGAGTTTACCGACCTGAAAATACCAGATATGATCCACGTTACACAAATTATTTTCGAACTGCAGGTCATTTTAGTGTCAACGTTTGGGGATGGATCTCATCGAGGGGAATGGGAGTGTTGTGCCGTATTAATGAAAGGTTTGTAACTAAAATTATATTTAATTAGATCGTGATCGAAAAGATGGTAACTTTCTAAATAATCAGTTGGATACCTAATTTAAAGTATATTTTGTTTTAGATTTATTGGGCAAACCTACCTAGATATATTGGAAAATATAATGCAGCCTAGTGTTGAGCAGCTCTATCCAGAGAATAATTTTTTATATCAACATGACAATTGCCCGGTGCACACGGCCAATATTATAACTCAGTAGTTCAAACAAACAATATCGAAACACTGCCATGGCCAAGCTATAGCCCGGATATAAATCCGCTAGAAAATGTGTGGGGAGTCATGGTCAAAAAACTTTACCAAAGAAATTTTTTGCCTCAAAATGCTGAAGATTTATGGGCGGGAATTGAAGGAATATGGGAGGAACTGTCTCAAGAAGAAGGTTTTTTAATATCATTTTTAGAATCGATGACCAGAAGGCTCCAAGCGGTGATAGACGCCGATGGAAGAATGAGAAAATATTAATTGTTTAGACCCAGTGGTAGCAGTATGCCCAATAGTAATACATTTTTGTCTTTACGCCACAATATAGTATGTTTACAATGATAATAGTTTAAGAGTTGCGTTATAAAATTGTGGAAGTAATAAAAATAAACTTATTTTAAATATTTTGTTTATTTTCGAACAAAATTCTAAAAAATGTACGAAAAATTCTAACTTTGACGCTTATAAAATTTAAGCTAATTGCTTGTTCTAGCTTGCATAAGTTGTTTGCGTAGAATGCATAAGCGTCTAAACCAGCTTTAGGTCGCCTTATTCAATGTCAAAATACCTGGAACCGTATGCTGATATACACTGCTCAAATATTCAAAAAAAATGTGTAAAGAGTCGTATTCATTTTTTTTGGAACCAGCTGTACATGCGAGAGGTAGCCGACGCTCTGTATAGAGTATGGCGCTGTAAGAAGAAGAACACGACGGCGGCGTGGAATATGTACTGATAATTTCTGATTTTTGCCGTTGTAGCGCTGCGGTCGGAATTTGTTGAAATCAGCTGAAATGCACCAAGCCTATACTCTTAATTTATTATTAAAGTCTAGTAGGTATGTGTTTTTTTTAGTTTAAGGTAAGCGTTATATAGACAGTGATTTCTTCAACAATTATTATACCACCTCCCATAGTAAAAAAATCAAATTTATATTATATATACAGGGTGTCCCACGTTGAGCGTGCATTAGAAGTTTCTAGAGAACCACAATATTTAGACCGGAGATTTTTTGCACATCATTGTTTCACAACGAGATCTATCGATTAAAAATAATTTCAATATGGAGGCATTTCCGGAAATACCGGAAGTTGACAGCAATTTTCCTATTTTAAATGGTTGTCCTAATTTTTTATTACATAATTAAATTCTCTGTAAAATTTTATGAATTTTGATATCAAACACTCTATACCTAACATTAACCGTTTTTGAGAAAAAAAATATTTAAAAAAGTTTTTTGGACGAAAAAAACTGCCTGTCAAAAATATGTGTATAGTCTAAACGTCAAATTTAGTGATTACCACAGCCCCTGTGCCATAAAGAGAAGACATGTGGCTATCTATTTCAAAAATTAAATTGTTTCAATGTCATATAATAAAGGCTGCAGCTGTCATGGAATTGAGCGATTAAAAAAGTATCATAAATAATTTTTTTCAAATGGAAACCCATTTTTTTATTTCACTAGTAAAAAGGCTCTTCAATTCGTTACTTTTTGACTATACATGTTCCTATACTTAAAATAAATCGTTTTTAAGTTATTTAAAATTTAGTTTTAAAGCGTATATTTTTCTTGATTTTAACAAGTAGCCTAGTTTAAACGTCAAGTGATGTAAAATAATAGATCTGGCCATGTCGTATTGTGACACTTTGTTCAGAAAGCAGTATGTTATCGATCATCATTTGCAAGCCAACTTTGTGTTGTTTTTTCTTCAGGGTTGATACAGTACATTATTAATATAATTAATGATTTTAACGAAAATACGGGATATATTTTTATAAACACACTTTTTAAACTTTTAAGGCAACAGTATTTACAAGATAGGAAATTCAAATAATTTATTTTCTGACAGATGGAAATAAATTGTCTGACTTTTTGACAGTTAATGTCAAAGAAAGCTAGATAAAATCAAGAGAAATATACGTTTTCAAACAAAATCTTAAATAATTTGAAAACGATTTATTTTTGGTATAGGAACATGTATAGTTAAAAAGTAACGAATTGTAAAATCTTTTCACTAGTGAAATAAAAAAAGTAGGTTTCCATTTGAAAAAAAATGATTTATGATAACTTTTTAATCGCTCAATTCCATGACAGCTACCGCCATTATCATATGGCATTTGAACAATTTAATTTTTGAAATAGATAGCTACATGACTTCTCTTTATGTCACAGTGGCTGTGGTAATCACTAAATTTGACTTTTAGGCTATACAATTTTTTTTGACAGGTAGTTTTTTTCGTCCAAAAATTTTAAATATTTTTTTTCTCAAAAACGGTTAATGTTAGATATAGAGAGTTTAACATCAATATTCATAGAATTTTACAGAGGATGTAAATATGTAATAAAAAATAGGGGCGGCTATTTAAAATAAGAAAGTTGTAGTCAACTTCCGGTATTTCCGGAAGTGCCACCATATTGAAAATATTTTTAATCGATAGATCTCGTTGTATAACAATGATGTGCAAAAAATCTCCGATCCCGATATTGTGGTTCTCTAGAAACTTCTGCACGCTCAGCTTGGGACACCCTGTATATAAAATACTTGTAAATACTGGTGCAGGTATAATTGCAGATGAAAGAATATACTTGTTACGTCACTTGTTAAAAGAGAAAAGTATAGAGCGCGTTATGGGTGGTAATTCTTAAACAATCAAATTTAAATGAAGTGGAAAAGCATCTTGCAATAATGAATAACTCTGTACAGATTTAAATCAGAACTATTATTACAATCCAGCCACACTTTTCTATCGAATTGGTAAAACATTCATATGATGCATTTTTGCAGTTTGAGCTTAGTTCCTATTCCTTTTCTTGTCATTTTTGAAGGCATTTTTTACGTTTTTTTTGCGTTTTTGTTTTCATTGCCCCGTCACGAAATTTTGTTAGCAAACATCAGATTCGGATTCATCGCTCCAAAAAACATGGAGCGCAAAATAAATTAGAAATACCCCAAAACAAAAAATAAAATTTGACCAGACTAATATTGCTGTTCTAATAATTACAGTTTACTTTATTCAAAGTAAAATATATATTTCCATAGGGAAATATATGTACATATATTTAATTTTCCAGTACAGAGAAATAGGGGAATCATTTTATGTAAATAATTCCTTTTGTTGCAGGGAACTCCTTATCATGTTCTACAAATCCACTGGTGGTTATAAACCGCATCGTATTATTCTATACCGGGATGGCGTGTCAGAGGGGCAATTTTTACAATTGCTGCAGCACGAATTGACCGCCATTCGAGAGGCCTGTATTAAGCTGGAAAGTGATTACAAGCCAGGGATCACATTCATTGTTGTTCAAAAGCGACATCACACTAGACTGTTCTGTGCCGATAAGAAGGAGCAGAGTGGCAAAAGTGGTAACATTCCGGCTGGTACGACGGTGGACGTTGGTATTACTCATCCTACAGAGTTTGACTTTTATTTGTGCAGTCATCAGGGTATCCAGGTAACATTTATTGACTATATTGCCCGTTGCCTGTCATGTAATAAGTTGTTTATTTGTGGTGAAAGATTAAACTAACTCATATTAACGCACATGCTATCCTTACGGGTTTTCCTTGATTATAAACATATATTTTGTAAGACAGGTGGTAGAGAAAGTATTATTTTATTATGTTCACATACAATTGTTTATTTACTTGTATTTTTATTGGAGAAACATTTTTGGAATTTCTGTGAGTAAGTACAATATACATATAACCGGTATGGTTTATACATGTAGTGACGTTTTGTGGATTACGCAGAGTATGGAAATTGCAAAAAGCGATGTGAGTTCCGGTTTTAATAGAGTGGTCGCAAATAAAGACGCAGTCAGGAGGTTATATATTTGGAATTATCAATATTCTGCCAGTGAATGTCTCCTCGGCGTTTGACTGTGCTGCAAGAAATAAGTAAATATTATTTTATGGCGTTAGAGTAAAAACATCAAAGCTTGCGTTCATGGGTCACCGAACCGTCGAATCGCAAGCAAGGGGCGATCGCTGTGCAGTCGCGTCATTGATGACACTTCTGACTCTTTTTTTGGTTGCGACCACTCTAATACACTGTTTACTATATCTAAGCCTATTGCTTTTTATTGTAAAGTTTAATTGAAGTAACCTAAAGATATCTTTAGCACGAAAAAAACATGTTTGCATTTAGGGTATGAATAAGGAATATCATTAAATGAAATTCTATATTTTATAAAATAAAAATCTGTCCAATGAGTCGGGAAAAATTTCGACAGACGATATCCGGAAAATATCTGAATTAAAATGACAGAAAATTGACTCACCAGATTATAGTTCAAATAGGCGCCTAAAAATGTGACGTCATTTAAGCGCATTTAGTGGGTTAAGCAACAGAGGGCGTCATTAAATACTAGTATTATATATACTAGTATTTAAAGGGGCTTGATTTTTATGCATCCTTTATCCGACGATACGATGATAGGATATTAATTTTATTGGTTGAATTCAAATAATTCGATTGGTTAGAAACGGTTAACCAATCGAAGCCTTTAAATTCAACCAATAAAATTAATATCGTATCGTCGGACAATGGATGCATGAAAATCAAGCTTTAATCGTATTTAATTCAGAATTGAGGTTGGTGTTATTACTTGTATTTGTTCAATTAATAGGATTTATTATGTTGAATAAAGATTGTAACTCTCAAATCGTAAGTTGTAAATACAGATGGTCATGGTTATCCTTGTTATTCTTAGTGAGACACTAATCTCTTTAAAATAAAAGCAATTCACCACAGCACACCAAAACAGTTAACTTGTACCACTGGTCGTGCATTTTGTTAACCATGTTAGCATCAGCAGATGATTAAAGTTACAGTAAAAGTGTTGAAATTTGAAGTGTTTTGGTGTAATGTGGTTAATTAGGTAATGTTTTATTTTGCTTAACTCTAGAGGTAATCCCAACCACATATTTTTGACTAATCACTGCCAAAATTTGTTTGAAGATGGCAGTGCGTGGCACTTTCCATAAGTGATGTCAGAGGCGTCATTACTATAATTTTGAATATTAGACTGATATCAAATTGGACTAAAATAAAAAATCCGGGTATCGTAAACTGCTACATAGAAGGAGTACTTACTCCTTACTCGTCGTCCTTTTTTTATATACTGTACCAGTCCTATGTATATTGTGGTCAATATAATCTGTCCAGTGATAGATTATATGGCAATTTTAGTTGTCTGCAATTTTATTTCAAATGTAGAGTTTTTTTTATAATCTTTTGAATTTCTTGACTGTTGAAAGTATTTCTTCGCAGGGCAGACTACTTCGTTTTTTTTTTAATATTTTTGCAGCAGTTTTTACATTTAATAATAGTATTTATGGAATTGGTCAATTTTTTATTTTTATATTGGTTATTTTTTCATACTCTGTTCTATTTAGTATTAAAAAGGCTAGTTTTGAAAGTGATCTGTTCAGCTACATTCATGGAAATTCTAAATGATATGAACTATAGGTATATTTGTTACGGTTAAAGTCCGATGCCCGGTTAATGTCGACATTAACAAGTTAATGTTTGAGTTTGGTTATGTTTTTGGTTGTTTTGTTGTGTGTTATTCTCCAGATTAACCGGGTAATGTCGATATTAACGGGACATCGGATCTTAATCGTAACATATACATATTAGTAACACACAACCATATTTGTATAACCATGAGGTTTTTTTTACCTTATTGCTTGTGTTTGTTATGAAATTTATTTTGTATTTGTTTTTATTTTATAGTTATAGTTTATTTGTCTTGTTATATTAGTTTACATCTACTTAATAACATTATCACGTACTGTATGATCGAAAACAAAATAGTGTCAAAGTCTGTAAGGAAATGACTGTCGGTTACATTCATCATATAATTTTACATATAAAATGTCATTGATTGTTATTTCAATGCAAACTATGATACAGTTTTTTTCGATTGTATAGTACAGTGTTTTGTTAACTTTTGGTATAGTGGCACTTTTGACATTTTTATATAGACGTATTTTTTAATAGTTATTTTGTTTTTTGCCTTAATGGTAAACATTATTATCTTGATTAAATTTCATTAATAAACTAACTTGGATTATTTTATTGTGCATGTAAATTACAAATGTGTAAACTAGTATTTTCCTACCATTTTACTGATAAAAATCACTGAACTCTTTCAGTACTAATCATTTGTACGTGCAGTTTCTGTGCATTATCTGTTGTGATTTGGCTACTATTAAAATTCTTCAGATGAACAGTACATATTTATGCTACATTATTTGGGGTTTGTACTTGTTGAGATTTGAAACATATTTATAATATGATTAATTTATTTTTTCGTTTCTTTGTTGTGTTCCATTTTTAATTTTTCTAATTTGTTTTGACCATTGAACAAAAACACTAATTGTAGAGTCTAATACTATTTTTATATCCATTCTTTATAGACGGAAATGACGTCATGGAAATACCTTATTTTGTCAGTTTTGTTTGACATTTCACTTGATCCATTTGAATATGATGAGAACTTTTGAGGTTTGTTGCATAATTTGTGCGAGTTTATTTGAGGAGTCAAGTTGCAAAACTCGCCTTATCCCAAAAACGTTGTTTGGAGGTAATAAGCAAAAACTGTTTTAGCTATGTTTGAAGCGTTAGTTTACAAACAACGTGTCCATTAAGTTCACAATTCATTTTCATACACAAAAATAATTCGGATAAGGCGGGTTTTGTTACAGTATGATGCATATACTGCAACAAAACTCGCCTTATCTGAATTATTTTTGTGCTATTTCTCTTTAAAAATTAAATATTAATTTTTATTTTTACAAAAACCAGATACAAGACAATGATTCCACTTATACGCACGTTTTTTTTGTGTGCTTTTTTATTTTACGGGTTTTGCTACAGCAAGATATTTGTATCCTAACTTGGAATTATTAGATATGCTAACTTATTAAAATTAGGTAAGCATTTGAAATGTATAAGACGTCAGTAGTAATATTATACTTGTGTAAAAAGCCTATGAAAAAATGCGGGATTTGCAATAATAATGACAATAAAAAGTAACTATAAGTGGATAAGACAGATTTTGCTGCAGTAACTTAATTTGTAGTGAATTTTATATAGGAATAGGCGACTTTTGCTGCAGTTTGGGACTATGTTTATGTAGATTGTAGCGTCTACTATTAATGTATATTATCATTAAGCCATTCTTTAAAAAAAAATGGATAAGGCGGGTTTTGCAACTTGACGCCTCATTTTATTTCTTGCTTTTTTTTATAATTAGTTTAATGCAAAGTGTACAAATCTGGAAAGACATTACGATATTATTGTTAATCTTAGAAAGATGCTTCAAGAATACTTAACGTGTGCAGCGTGCGATCGTGTTCAGAACAAAAAGATCTGTTTTTATACTTCTTGTTCAATACCCAATGTATATTTTCTTACTACCACTAGAACATATCAGACGTAAAATAATTCAAAACACTACTAATAAAAATAAACCACAAATTATGCAGCACTTAAAATTGGGTCTGTTGTTTACGCTAATATGAAAACAAGTAAGATGGAGCTTTATCAGTATGGGTAACCCCATCTTTTATATTTGTTGAATGTGGTCAAGGTAGTTTAGTTACTTTAATTTATATTATATGGATATTACTACTACTTCGTCTTTACTTTTCAGGGTACATCCAGACCATCTCATTATCATGTGCTGTGGGATGACTCGCACTTGGATTCGGATGAGCTACAATGTTTAACTTACCAGCTGTGCCACACCTATGTACGTTGTACGCGTTCGGTGTCCATACCCGCTCCGGCGTATTACGCTCATCTTGTCGCTTTCCGTGCTCGATATCATCTCGTCGAAAAGGAACATGACAGGTTTGTATTAACACAAAACATGCTTCATCTTAAAGGCGGTTTAAACAGCTAATTTGCGCAAATTGGATTGTGGAAGCTAAATTGTACCAATAAATCATAAAATGTAAACAGGTATCGTTAGTTTGTGCAGTTCAAATGTTTCTCTTGAGTAAAATTTGTCTCGTTTTGATTTTTAATTGAGTGTTATCATGGTTTTAGATAATTTTGACATTTACTGGTTGAGATTTAAGGTCAAAATTTGTTTATCGAATGTCTTTTACGTTATTTAAATAAAAACCGTTAGACAAATAGCACCCAATAACAAAGTGTAGGGGAAAAAATGGCTTGCGAAAACCAGTTTGCGCGAATGTAGGAAATGTAGCGAAATGAAATGTAGGCGCTCCTCGTGCACAAAGAAAACTTCTTATCCTTTTTAAAATAGATTTTCTCTCAGGATATGTTTTTCTTAGCATTCTGTAATAATATTCATAAAATAATTTATTAACTTTATTCTCCATGAAAACATTCCTGATCAGTCTCTTTTAAAATTATTTACAATCATATTTGCAATGTTGACATTACTGTAAGCATTGCATACGTGTATAGTTTATTTGAAGTCATAGTCTAAGAGCTAGCAACGCTTTCGAGAAAGTATTTTAAGAAAGCTGGCTCTTTGATATATCTTTACTATGCTATCTGGAACAGCATGCAGGCCGTCTGGCTGCCGATACACGTTGCGTTCATTACTGCGCATTGGAAGAAGGTCCTATATATTTTTTTATTTAGTCCGCTAAATCTAGTATTGAATATAAATTGAGCAAGTTCATAGCGTGGCGCGTAGAGGTTCCTAACCTACACAAATATGAAGGAATAAATGATAAATGCAATATTGACACAATGTATTTACATGTGTTACTGGTTTTGAAGGGTTTCACAACAAAAATTGAAAGATTTTGGACTTTTTACTACATTTGTTTATTTCAAAAATAAAATGTTGTACCTACCTACTTTTTGAAAAAAAGGTGGTATCTGCGGATATTGTAAAGTCTGTCCAAGAGAATACATGACTGACAGTTGTCTGTCGAAATCTTCCCTGACTTGTTAGACATACTTTGTTATGATTCGTTTAGAATAGGATGCAATGTGATAGATATCTTCCTTGTACGTCTTATTGCACTTCTGGCCTCTGGCCTCCTTATAATAACTCTATTTTACCTGGAATTATACTATTTCTTTTTAATTTTCAGCGGTGAAGGATCGCACCAGTCTGGCTCTTCGGAGGATAGAACACCAGGTGCCATGGCTAGAGCTATTACCGTTCACGCTGACACTAAGAAAGTCATGTACTTCGCCTAACGTGTTAATTATCGAGACGCGTATAGACGAAAACAGGCAGTCTAGTTGTCGAGAACACGAATTATTTCTAAATAATGATCTGGTAAGATTTGGGCCAAAAAAAGCGGAGTCAACAAGCTATCTTCTAATTTAATTATAGCTTTAATCGCAATCCTCTCTCATCCAAATTGGATCTATTTTATCTTCCATATAGATTCAATCAATCGTTTTTGTGTATCGATATTTTATACGAGATGGATGCGTCTTTATTGTTAATTTACTCATCTATTTAAGGTCATTAATTACTCAATTATGGGGTCGAATATTAAACCAAATGCAAGAAATTATGTGCCTGACAAAAAGAGGAAAATTTTTCTTTAAAATAGTATGATATCTATTAGGTGAATTAAAACAATTAAAAAATGAAATACATGCATATTTTATGTGTTCGTATATTCAATTACAATATACTATTCAATATACAAAATACAAAAAATCAATTAGTGCAATTAAACTCTTATAGATGTTCTTATCCTGTTGCTAGGGTAAATATTTATTGTTGTACTACAAAGAATAACTCTCGTCTGTATCTTGCAAAGTATTAGCCGCAGAGCCTGCGGAAAAAATATTTATATAACTGAAGAGGCCATGATAAATTGCTGGAAATCATTTTTAAGTTTGTAGAATTGCCGCAATTGTTATGGCAAATCGGAAAATTGCATTTTTACAAAATTTCTCCTAGGTAAGGGGCTCTAAACGATGAACGCTCTTTTATTCTTGGAACGAGCGCTAGTTTGACAGATCTAACCTTCCCCCACCATCTCATTTTAGCAGATAGGACAAAATGTTTAAAAAAAATCGAAATTTGCTGATTATTATAACGCTATTATTTCTACTATTTTTTAACTAGGCAAAACTTTGTATTTTCTTATTTGCCATAGCCAGTTGTGTTCTCTAGTCTCTTCTAGAAACTTGAAAATAACCTCCAGCAATTTCTTATGACCTCTTTAGTTCTATTTTTTCCGCAGGCTCGAAAGGTAATACTTTCCGAGATACAGCCGACAGCTATTGTTAGTGGAACACACTGTACAACGTACATGGGCCAAGTTTATGTTTACCGGTTAATTTCTGCCAAGGTTAGATAAAAAAGAATAAAACTTCCATTGTAGCATAGAAATACTAATTATGCCAATTATATTCGAAATTGTCTAAAACCTAGACATGGATTGTAATTTTGACATTTGTATACTTTATTCTTTATCTTGGATCGTTATTGAGATATCTTTTTGGAGTTTACACTTAGTATATAACATAACTGAAATGCTACAATAAGAATCGTCGTTTTTTATGAGGCAACTTTATATTTATGATAATGTGATCATATTGGTATCTAATCTATTTATTAAATAACGTAATATAGTAATAATAAGATATTGATCGCAATTTAAATTCAAAGAATACCCATGATTATAAAACTTAAATGTGATTAACAAAGTCAATGTTAAACAAGTTTTAACATGAGCCACCACTTTGTGAAAATGGACAAACTATAACCTATGATTATATTTTACTTATTACCAATTGATTGCCTATTATTAACATAATAGGTAAGTAACTATATTTACACTTGATACTTATTTTCAGAATACTGAAACTGTGTTTTTCATAAAGCAAACATTTAAAATTAAAAGTAAAATTGTTGTCTGTATATGATAATATGACTTTTTAAAACAATTTATTTATTTTTGGGTGTTTAGAGGAAACACTTCTGACTTTATACATTCGTTTGTTTGAAACTAAATTGCTTTATTGATAATTCGACAATAGGGCATCTATAACTAATTTAAGTGATTCAATTAAATCTTGATAATCATGGATTATTGTTCTTAAATTTCGCAACGAATGGAATTATTTTATTATTGAGTTATTGAAACAACGGAATTTATTCAGCATATCCAAAAACAAAAAATATTTTGACATATTATGCCACTCGAAAATTTCAAAAATGGAAAATATCGAAAAACGTCCAAGAGAAAAATTGTTTTGATTTTACGCCATATGTACTGTATTATATTACAGAATACATATATATATACAGGGATTTTTTAAAAATCAGTATTTTGGTTATTTTTCGAAAATAAATGAAGATTAGTACCTATTTTTTTCTCTTACGTATGACTTATAGGACAAAGCGAATGTAATAGACATAATTTCTAATTCAGTAATTTTAGTTTATTGAACCACAATACAGTTTTATAAAATATATTTTTCAGACTTTTAACATTGTTGTACATTCAAAGTAACTTTTTACATTTTTCTAAATAATCTGTTTCTCTATCGTAGATATTACTCTATCGTACTGGGTTTGATACCCAGCCGAGCCAGTATGGTCGCTTTACATATTTAACACATACACATTACATATTTTACATTATAAATTACGCATAATTTTTTAAAAACGTGCACATAGCGGTGCATATCAGGATTAATAATTAAATAGCTACTAGTTACGACGACAAATTTCTTTTTGAGCAGTTAACATTGAAATGGAAAACTACTATTGCCTTATATCTATTTCTAAGCCACACTTCGACATAACACATATGTAAATACAAATATTTACCTAGACCTATGAAGACTGTCCAAATATAAGATGCTGACTTTTCGTATTTAATGCGAACTTGTAGTTATTTATCTTCGTTGAATTTTTCGATAATGTCTTTGAAACTGATACTACCCTAGAGCTACGGCAGCGATATGCGTTATTAATAGGGTTCCCAACTTGAGCATCGGCGATTCCGGGACAATTATTTTTAAGCTTTTAAATAATTGAAGCAAGACATTAAATATTAGAAAATAATAAATATTATGTGTGTAGTACATTTTTTTAGTTTCCAGGTCCCGGCCAAGGCAAAACTTTCGCCGGGACAAACTTTCTGATTCCTGGTTAATCCCGGCCAAACCGGGACGGTTGGGAACCCTAGTTATTAAAGGAAACGTTATTTTAAAAACTTTGACAGTTAAAATGTCATAGTAACCGTAAACGTTACTACATGGTTATATTTGCATCTAGAAGACGCTATGCGGTATTTTGGCATTATGGAGAGTTTATATTGTCAGTTAAGTTATGTATTTTTAAAAAATGTAAATATTTATTTACTTGCCTTGAAGTACGTTTCTCTTAGATATTATAATCAACTATGTTGCGTATAGTATAGTTGATATTAGTAAGACATTTTCAATAGTAATTTATATTTATTAGGATCTTACTCAGAAAACAAACAAGAAAATAATATTTTTAGATAGCAAAAATCAAGATTTCTAATGTACCTAGGATATAGTAATTTTGTGACCGAGCATTTTTTTGACAAAAAATGACGATTCTTAAAGTTTCTCTTTATTTGTAGTTATAAATAACAGCAATTTGAAATCAAACTAATATTATTTTCTATTTTAAGGGAAATATAGAATAATATTGGAAACAAAATAATTTTAATATACAACAAGTTGTTGCATATGTCAAAAATAACTTTAAAACGCTTGATAACTAAAACCTGATCTTGTTTGTGTAGTTCTAAATGTATGGCCAATTCTTTGCCTTGAAATTCTTATGATTTCCATTTAATTATTAGCGCGATTTATTATGCTTATAAAATCCGTTAAATTTCGTTAATATATATATTTTGCGTGTGAAAATACATAAGTGACAGCCAGAAATGCTCGTGATTTTAGGTATACAATTATGATTTTTATCTAAGCTCAGATGACTTGCAGCCTTCTTACTTTTAATGAAAACGGCAGGTATACAATTTTTATCATTACTATTAATATTAAGTGGGACTTTTTTTTTGGTTTATGAGAATTATAATTCGTTGATTATATTATTATTTAACGTATTTGTCGTTCAATACAATATGAGATAATATATATGAGATATATTCTATACTAGATACAATATAAGAATGCTTGTGTGCGTGTATATGTCCATTTTTTTCTTATAGCACTATGTCTTTCTTTTATATTCCAATTAAGTGGTCAAATTTTGAAGCTTTAATAGAGTTACTTATTTTAGAGTGTGTCTTTAGCTAGTATAAATTAATAATAACGAGTGTTTCCGACTTAAACGAAAATCTAACTGTATGGAGTGCTATCAAATTACAAAATGTAGTACCATTAATGTACTCTGTATGTATATATTGTATTGGAGAATCTGGAATTCGGTTAAGTTAAGAAACGTTCAAACAAGAAGGGGTTATATTATGAAATTTAAAGTCGTACAACTCTTATAAATAAATAAAGGGCTATTATATAAATGTTGCTGTATATGAATGATATACGGCGTATATGCCGATCTTAGAATTAAGGGCTAATGAAACTTGAAACACTTCTCGGAGAACTCAGATACATATTTACAGAGAGAGAGAGAAAAACATTGCATATTATTTATTCATATCCTTATTTTTAATTACTGTGTATAAAAAGTATTCAAATGATATATTTATGTCTAGACAATAATTTTCAAATGCAAAGTTTAGACAATGCATTCCAATGGCACAAAGATAATATTTCTTCTTGTAAAAGGATTTGTTAATATTAATTTCGAAGGTTTATTGTCCATTTTCTAACTTAGTCAAATACTGGAACTCGAAAGTGGATGTAAAATATTTTATTTTTACATTAGGCAACACATTATGTATATGTTCGTTTAAGCAATTATATCAACAAATCCTTCAATTCCAACGTATGTATTCTAAAAGGGATGAATATTATTTATTTTTAAAACCTATCATAGTCAACAGAGAAACATTAGTTTTTAAGGGAAGCGTCAGTTTTATGTTGTGTTGTACTACTTATTGCCATTAATATTTATTAATTAATTTTAATTCTCTCTAGTAATACAGTAATCGTTTCAAAATAATGATAGAGGAAAATATTAATTAGATGTATTTATTGTATTCCTTCTAAACGGGTGGTGAAATTTGATCTCGAATTTTTCTTGCTCCAATGCGTAAATATATACAACTCAAAATAAAACTGGCAACGTCGGACAAATGAATAGTTTTTAAGGGCATAACTTAAAGCCGGGAAATAAATAATGATGGATCTATAAAGAACCGGTCGTAATATAATAGTTTTAAGAATACATTTCAGGCCAAGAATCATTGACAGACATTGCACGATGCCAAAGATTTATTGCCAATATTTCAAGCAGTATCAATTGTGTACTTAATGATAATTATTATTAGTAGGGTAGTGAAAGGACAATATAGGGATTAGGGATATCAGAAAGGAGTTTAGTTTTTTTATCTCATCATAGGTTAGAGAACTGACGTCTGCAATAATAATCATAGAAGAAATTTAATTCAGAATTTGTTTTCTTTTAACTAGATTTTAATAATAGTTATTTAAATATTAATATATAGGCCGTCATTAGAAAGGTCATACTAAACACATTTTTTCATTATATACTTAATTCATTTTATCATTATTTTGTACTTCAACAATGACCCAAATAATATCCCTGAGAATAAAATTAATCACTTAATCTTCAAATGGTTCAAACGTTTTTTTTTCAAAAAATGGTCAAAAATACCGGTATCGCTGATAACCGGTATTGGATTATAAAATTGATTAGTGTTTTATTTATTACTTTCTAAAATTGAAATTTGTATTGACAGTTTATTTTAAGTCTTGTTTTGTTTATAAACATATACCGTATGATCGAATAAAAACGGCAACAGCGATGGCTATGAAATGAAGATTGCTGTCATTTTCTATGGAAATTTATATGGGAAATGTCATTGATCGTCATTTCATGGTCATTGCTGACGCCGTTTCTATTCGATCATACGGTATAATTGAACATTCGCGTATTAAAAAGAACAAATTCTGTTGCCTTCACAGGAAGCCTTTATGATTCCAAAGATAAATTGACAAAAATGCCATTATATAAAAAGCCTGTCAATGATTTTTGATTCTACAAGCGTACTAAAGTAATATCAACATTCTAATAATAAATGTTATCAATTTGTTACTCTTTAGGTTGTAATAATATATTTTTCGTGGCCAATGTTAGTATTTAGTTTCAATATTTCTTAATATTAGTGCACTTTACTTTGATGCAAATAGAAATGCAAGTAATATTTAGTCTCTGTTGCATATCACAATTTAAATTTAAGGTTGCGTTGCCAATAACATTACAGTTATTTTTGATTATGCAAAGTAAAAAAGTGGGGATTTCTCAACTTTATTTTTTAGGTTTAGCTTTAGTCTGTTAGTTACTAGAACGCGTTATATGTTCTGCTATAATTTTAATGCTATTAATGAATTTAGTCTGCTGTTGTATAAATTTATATTCCAAAATTGCCTTATAAAAAATCAACAACATTGAACTGAACTACTAGTGAACCACTTTAGACTAATATTTTCTTTACTCCGAGCATAAGGCTATTTGAGTTTTTCTCTTTAAACACCTACTCTTCTTATATCTATCTATCTTAGTATTTTTGCTTCTAAGGCACATTCTAATCTAGCTTTTTACTTTTAAGATGAATATAATTGTATTATTATTCATATAGGGACAAATGCTCAAGCTAAATATTCTCGATAAAAAGATACATTTTTAAATATCTTAAAAATCATAAAGCTTTACATGACAGTATAGTTAAATTAGAATGAAGTGTATGGTTGGAATACATCAATCTCTTATTAGGTCATTTGTTTATATTTTGAACAGAGTTTTCACCAAATGTTTGAGGAATTGAAGGCAATCGTCCCATATAATTAAGTATACTGTCACTTAAAATATATAAATGTGTCAATATTGCTGTTAGTATTTTGGAAGGTATATAAATTGAAGAACATAAGTTTACAGATCTCATGTACAACAAAAAAGTACCCAAAATTTTATATAACAGTAGACAATCATATGTATAAGTGCTACAAAAGGGACTACCTACTCTTCTTTTTTATATATTTTGTGAGGATATACCGATTTAAGAAAATAAGCAAACCTTAACCAGTTCTATTTTTTTATATGTCCAAACTTCTATATACGTAATTATAACTCTTTATTTACCAAATTCGTATTTTATTTTATTAATTGAGCTGTTATGCTTTACATTCCTTTAAAAACTTGAGGTTTATAATCACGCAAATTAACTCAAACTAATTTTCTCTAGTCTTCATATTATTTTCTTGTTTAGTGGTTATTGATCTCTATGTGTTTTTGGTGCAAATTGTAATTATCGACGACAATTATCTTTAGGTCTGTGATATACCTTTTTTTCTGGTCAATTTAAGCATTTCCAAAAGAACACTATTTTAACAATTTGTATTGTACCTATTACAAAATGGACTTTCTTACTTATGGAACCAATTATTGCTTATTTGATTATTTAAGCTGTTTATGGGAAGCTGCTTAATCAATTGTCACTTATTGATATGTGACAGATGTTTGCGAACGATGTCAGGTCCCCGAACTTTTTTACTTTGTTCTCTAGTTTATTTAGTGGCTTTCGAATTTAGTTATGCGTAATAATGCCAAGAAAGATTTTAATTATTTAGATTCTTTTTGTTATTTAGGCTTTATGTTTATTAATGTGTATTTTATCAGCTGATAATAAATTATTGATTAACAGATAATAAATTGTTTTTCTTGCAGAAACCTTGTAGATCTAGATTCTTGCAGAAACCTTAGAAATTTAGGTATAATATTTCCGATGACAATTGGATTCTAATTTGTTTGTCCAGACCATGTCGACAATGGCGTCGACAAAGACAGTGCCGAAATTAGAGTCGTAACCTATTCCAATTGACTTCAGAGATACTAGACTAATTAAATTCTATTTATTTAGATATTTTGTACCGAGATAGTTATTTAATACCCAATTACATTATATGCCATTCTATAATAATAATAGCTCCCTTATATAGCGTTTCACGCCTTGGGAGTAGCAAGGTCCACCTTGCCATGCTAGAGCCGTTCGGTATACAAGGAAGGTAATGTGGCTAGCCCTACGCTTCAACCGCCTCTTATTACCTCAGGATTGTGAATCCCAAGTAGGTACTCATTTAAGGCTGAGTCGACCTAGGTACCCAAACTATTTTTATAATAAAAATAGTCGGCTGATAAAATGCCGAGTGTAGGATTCGAACCCACAACCTTGAGATTGATAGACGAGAGCCTGTACCTCTACGCCACCGGGCACCGGTGTTCCATAAGAAAAAATATAACTTTGGTATGGATCTTAGTTCTGACACACTTTGTACATTTCAAAATAATTTTAAATTATGCACATTGCCTTTCTACGTGTACCTATAAAATATTTTATTTCTACATCTTTCTGTTTTCGTATAATCAACCGAGGTGAATGAGGTGTGCCATCCTGCAGAGGCAAAAAGTATCGAATTGAAAAACCTGTTCACTGGTGAAATAAAAAATGGGTTTCCATTTGAAAAAAAACATGATTTGTGATAATTTCTTAAGTTTTATTCAGAACCTCGCAATTAGTGGAATAAATTAGTGGTTTCAATTACACTTTATACTTTTTAGTTTACGATCATTCACAATGTCTAAAACGCACAATTAAAATTAATAGAATATCCTAGCAACAGCTTTCGGGAATTAATTGTATCCATAGAGAAAGCCTAATATTTAGCTTATAAAACGATAAACTTTTGTTTTCTAACCACATTTTCACTTGACGGATGATAATCAAAGGCCAAAATGACATTCCTCGCAAATTTTGAAGTATAATTAGTGGAAAAGTTTAATTAGTGGAAAAGTTTAATTAGTGGAAAAGTTAAAAGTTTGTTAACTTTTTCCACTAATTGAAGATTACTACCACTAATTTTGACGTTCTGAATGCTTACGTTCAAATTAGAGAAACAAACTTCTACGCTAACCGAAACCACTAATTTATTCCACTAATTGCGAGGTTCTGAATGAAGCTTTAATCGCTCAATTCCATGACAGCTGCGGTCATTATTAGGTATATGACATTCGAACAATTTAATTTTTGAAATAGATAGCCACATGTCTTCTCTTTATGTCACAGTGGCTGTTGTACGCATTAAATTTGACTTTTAGGCTGTACACATTTTTTTGACAGACAGTTTTTTCGTCCAAAGATTTTAAATATTTTTTTTCTCAAAATCGGTTAATGTTAGATATAGAGTGTTTAACATCAATATTCATAGAATTTTACAGAGAATTTAAGTATGCAATAAAAAATGGGAGCATCCGTTTAAAATAAGAAAGTTGCTGCCAATTTCCGTTATTTCCGGAAGTACCGCCATATTGAAAATACTTTCAATCGATAGATCTCGTAAAACAATAATGTGTAATGTGCAAAAAATTTCCGATCTAGGAATTGTAGTTCTCTAGAAACTTCTAATGCGCGCTCAGCCCGGGACACCCTGTAGTCTGTTCACACCTGACAGTTGCCAGTGATAGTTGTCTGTCATTTTTATACACGGGTAAATTGTATTTTCTACCATTTTTATTGTTGGATGTCGTCTGTCGAAATGTTTCCTGACTTGTTGGACAAACATTAATATCTTTTCGGTTTTATTGCAATTTAGCTTCACTTTCGTATAGGCTTGGTGTATTCTCCGCCGGTGCTGCCACCATCGGAGAATATCGTAAACAACTCGTACTTACAAATACGCGGGTTTAAATAGCGAGAATATGAAAAATTTAATATTTAATTAAAAAAATTTATCTAAAAATAAAAATAAACCAGTCAATATTTTGATATCTTCAGAAGGTCTAACTTGTAATATAATTTATTATTCCAGCTAAAAAAACTTTTCAGATAAGTTCAGCTACGGTAGCTATATATATATAGTTAGTTTTAATCACCGATTTTGCTAGTGGGGCATGAATTGATAAAACATTTAATCACTTTTCTTTAATTTTTTGATTATGTAACGAGCACTTTGTTTACTCATCTGTTTCGTCAAACTGCTTGAATCCATTTTTGCTTTTGATCAAATGGCTCTGAGACACTATGAAGCTATAAAATGTTGTTTTGGGAGAGTTGAATATCTGGGAAAGTTGAATTATTGGATGTTATTGCACCCAACAACGCCCTAATTAAATTCTCCTTTATTAAGGAACATTCAGGCTCAGAGCGTCGCGTTGCGTCGCCACGAAATGGAATCAATTCCCTTAACTTAAATTAGACGGTTCACGGTTCAGACATACACAGACAGCGTCGCGTTCGGCGTTGCGCTAGCGTCCGCTGAGCATCGAGCATCCAGTTCAATCTGAATTGTTTTCGGCGAGATTTCTAGCGTTCAATGGTTGTCATGGCGTCTGAGGACCAGTACGCAGAATTGCTAATCGCCGAAATACAGGCAAGACTTACACTGTGGAATGCAAAATTGCCTCAATAGGTATAAAAATAGAAATCTGCGTGATCGACTACTTGAAGAAATGCCTACAATTCTAGATATTTCTAGTATTTTTTCACAGTACAAGTAAATATATGAGAGCTTTCGAAATTTCTTTGTATGGGTTTTGTATACCCGATAAAATTGAAAAGGATCAATTCTAGTCGTTTTTAATTCTATCTTGGCTGGTATAAACTAATGGATTTTTTTTACTTATTGTAATATATTAATTAATCCATATTAATTTGGATTAAATCTTAAAATTAAATATATTAGTTTGTAAAATGTGAATGTTTTTGTAGATTAAAGGAATTTGGTCTGGCTAGTTTTTATCCAAGATTTTTATATGTACTAGCTATTTTTATATATTTTTTTTTAAACCAGAATAAAGGCACTTCTTATTTGGCCTTCGTTGTGTTAATGCCTATAAATATAAATTCAAATATATTAATTAGTTTAACGGAATAATAGGTAATAAATTACATAAAATCTAAGTATTTTAACCTATGTAATTAATAATCTAAGTAATTTGAATGTAAAATATGGTGTTTTCAATAGTAACATTAGACAAACTGCTCTCCTTTAAGCCATTTTACAAACTGAAAACCTAAAGTACAAGCTCATATGACGCTGCGCTGACGCTGCGTTGACGCTCCCAGCCTGAATGTACCTTTCGCGTTAACATTTTTTCGGCAATTTTATTAACAATAATTGAAATTATCACAACACAACACGATGCCTAGTTCGAATTCTTTTTCACTTATTTTTTACCACCCGAAACAGCGTTACATCACGCAAACCTCATACCTGAATGTTTTATAGTCTCAATAACTGCACTAGCAAAAAACTAAAATACTTAAATATTATGACAAAACCACCATTTCAATATTATTTTAATGCGATCAACATGACGGCGCGCCGGTCATTATCAATCATTATCATTATCAATAAAAATCAGAAATTATCGCTACCTATTTCACGCCGCCGCGTCGGCGTGAAATAGGTAGGGATAATTTCTGATTTTTGCCGTTCAAACGCTGCGGTCGAAATTTGATTAAAATCAACTGAAATGCACCAAGCCTATACTTATAAAAAAGTATTTTGGTCCTTAATTCTATTACTTTTTATTCTTCTCTATAAGCACTTAACCTAAAAGCATCAGTAATACCAAGTAAAATTTCCTAATTTAAAATGTTTATAGACTTCACACATATCTGGGTTGTAATTTGCCAATTTGAAACAATTCCTTTTTCGTACTGAATTATTCGCAGCCAATTAATCAATTTAAGCCATAAACTTCGTCAGATCCACATGTGTACAAACATACTTTCGGAGAAATTTTACCGGAGCGCCATCATCTGGCTCGATACGGGCGACGGTGACCCACATGGAAAGGGGGACGCGCGTCTTCCGCCGGCTGTCGGCCCCCGATCGCGTAGTTTTGTCGCAACTCGAGCGACGGCCAGTCGACGCAGACCGCCAGCGCGTTTCGCACATGTGAACCGGGCCTAATTGTGCCGCGAAACAAAGTCTCTGTTCGGACGTTCTCCGAGCGCGAAGAAAGTTCGCTTGATGGTACCAGTTCTGTTGACCGTTTCAATTCAAGGATTTACGGTTTAGCACTTCATGGTAAGTTTAGTTTTCACTTATATCTATAATTTAAGGGTTCTCATTTTATTATACATTAAGAGTCAATTTCACTAGTCCGAAAATGTAGCAAAATAAGCGTTCGGCATTTAACGTTTTATGTCAAACTGGCTAGGTATTTTTACACAAAGGAAGAAGGAAATTAAAGATAAAGGATTATACTATATCCGTATTGTAGCACATTTTTAGAAAACCTTTATTTTTAAGATTTTGTAGGTCAAACATCAAGATATCGTCCTTATGTTTGGACTAAATTTTCTCGAAAATAAAGACATAATTTAAAATTCCGTTACAATACGGAAATAGATTGAAGTTTTGTGATAACAGTGATAAATAATTTATATGGTTTTGTAACAAATTGCTCGCTATTTTATGGCAAATTCTGAAGCTCTGCAAACAGCGTAATGGAGTCTTAACAAAACGTGCGTTTAGATTTTTTCATAATTAAATAATAATTAAATGTATTAGGGTAGGTGTCTGTAATTTTCTATGATTGATTTTTGCCAATCCGCTAATAAAGTATAATAATTAGTATTATGCTAAATGTCAACTACTGTGTGTTTTGAACACGAATACCGGGTGCGTCTCTAAAGTGGCTCACCCCTATAACTTTTTTATTTTTTCAGATAAAAAAACGAAATTTGGTATGTTAGTATATGACATAAATTAGGATTGATTGGTGTATTCAATTGTTTTTGACCACTTCCTGTTTCACCGGAAATGCCTACAACTTTTGATTTTTAAATGGCACCCACGGTATTTTTTTACTTTATTCGATAGAAAATGACATTCTGAATAGAATGACATATCATATGTCAGCTTTTGACATTCTCGCTTAATAAAAAATTGTATTTTAAAATTCAATCTAGAGTGCCATGGCTATGTTAAAAATACTAATTCTTCATCAAGAAGCCTTGGAAAAATAGATTTGATCGTCTAATGTTTTTAGTGGCGTGTCCTGGCCAGTTAGAAAATTCTCAAATCGTATTTTTAATCATAACTCAATTTTTTCAAATGGAACGAGGGTGGCTCATTAGCATATTTGGAAAAAGCATTTTTTTACGAATAACTTGATACCACACACTTGGTATTTCAAGTCAAATTTTTGTTACGAACCGCATGTTATAATTTCAAATAAACCATATGCGAAAATGTCAAAAGTTGACATATGATGTGTCATTCTATTCAGAGTGACATTTTCTATCCAATAAAGTAAAAAAATACCTGTGTGAAACCGGAAACGACCGAAAACAATTGAATACGTCAATCAATCCTAATTAATGTCATATACTAACATACCAAATTTTGTTTTTTAACTAAAAAAATAAAAAAATTATAGGGGTGTGCCACTTTTGAGACGCACCCGGTATAGTAGTATTATTATAATTGGCTCGTTTCGTATCTTTCTTAAGGTGCGTATTCACTATCCGAACAAACCAACGAACGAACGAGCGAACGCATGGAATTCGGTATATTTGGACGGGGAACCGAACGCATGCGGCCGTTCGTTTGCTCGACCATCCGTTTCGAGTCGGTACATCCAAGGAGTTCGAAAACGAATGGGTAGATGTTGTTCGTTCGGTTCTAAAATTCGGTCCCGTCCATACTACTACCGAACGAACCAACGAATGTTCGTTCGGATAGTGAATACGCACCTTTAAGAGTCTATTACGCTGTATTTTTGGGTCACTATTAGGGGTCGGGTAAAGCGGGTGTGTGGCCGAAGGAAATGTATATTATATTTCAGAAATCTGCTTAAGGCTTAGCCCGATCCTGTCGTGTTAAGCCATACCCAAAATTCCAAACACTCGTGCTTTGATTAAGGTTTGCAAAGCTTCAGCATTTGTCATAAAATAGCGAGCAATTGTTACAAAACCATAATATTTATATATCACTGTAATCACCAAACTTCAATCTATTTCCGTATTGTAACGGGATTTTAAACTATGTCTTTATTTTCGAGAAAATTTAGTCCAAACATAAGGAATATTTTGTTGATGCAAATTACAGTAAAAATTTTAAGGCTTCATTTCTCCAAGGGTATCAAAATTTTTAATACTAAATATTTACTGAAGTTTATTTATTGATCAGATATTGTGTTGCAATAATAAACAAAATACTACCTTATACAGAGTGTCCAAAAATTTATATTAAATAATTACTAGCTTTAAACGGCAACAACTTGTTTAATTTAAATGGAACATCCTGTATATTTTACGAGAATCAGATGCACAATTTAATTGTCTATCAAATTATATTATACCATTTTTTACCTATCTCTTCAAGTTTTCGTAGAAAAAGCATTTTCTTATAATTTTTAAAATTATAAGAAATTAAAACCCCAAATAAATCAAGAAACTTTTAAATATTTTTTACACATTTTAATAAATAGGTTTATTTCAATGTTATTTTTTGTTGATTAAATTTGTCTACAAAGAAGGAACCATTGAGAAATTGGTAGATTTTTTATCCAGTAGACTTCTGCCTAAAAATAGCTATTTTTGTTTTTTAAGTGTTTGCATGAGTTTAAATTTTAAATATCTTTGGTTTGCACTCGTGTTCGCATTAGTGCTAGAACTGTGGTGCTAGGCTGCTAGACTTGTTTATTATACAAGGGTGCTAGCACATTCTGTGGTGCTAGTAATGAATAAGATAAGACATTTTTTCTTTTAAATCAATTAGATATTTATAAATCGCTTCTAAAAAATAAATATGTATTATGCTTTTATAATAGCGACAGACATTTGATAATCCTGTACGAAAATGGAACATCGCTGAATTAATCATATCATTATAGCTTTCTATAAAAGCAAGTTAGTACCTATTAAAATTGAAAAATAACATTAGAATTTACATTTAAATTGCTAAATTGCTATAAGATAAAAGGTAGGAATATCATAAAATTTGTATTTAATTATTTGTATTTATATCAAAATATTTTGCATAATTAGTCATTGACTCTTGGTTATATGTCGTTGTTTATTTAAAAATGTAAGTATTTTTACATCAATTATGATTTTTAGCAAGCCCCCCCTAGTTTCGCCACTGATTATTATGGGCATAATTTCCTTTAACAAATTTAGAATTATAACTGTCAAGAATCAATAAGATATTTTCACAGGAAATGGAGTAACAATTAATTTACTATTTTCAACAATTTGTAGAGTGAAGATAGTTGGAGTGATATTGAATATCTCAAATATAAATAAAAAATATCGGAATATGGTAGTTAGTTATTCTTTATAGTTATTTTATCTCGTAAATACATCTGACGCTTAAAATTAGAACGCTAAAATCATAATATAAGTATGTAATATGATCGAAAATAAAAAAAACTTGCTCCACAAAGCGTGCAAATTTATTAAAAGATTCTTATTGTTCTGTTTACGAAAAATGTCAACCAACATCTGTAGGTAATTTTTTTTTTAAGTAATTCATTCCAAACGCTGGAATTGTATATAGATTTGGACACGCTATAGACTTAGAACGAGCTTCAGTAATATAAATCAAATATCATTTAATGTCATTCGTTTGTAACAAATGTATGTGTCCCGCAATTAGTTAAAAGTTAAACACACTGTAGGTATACCAGAATGCACTACCGTTTAATAATAAACAGACCTACCACCCACTTACATGTTATCTACCTACTCACTTACATGTTAGTAGTAACTCCCCTGTAATAAAATTTATTATTTGTTAGTAGATGTGATTAATATGTCTTTGTCATTTGCAAAAACAACAAAATATATATGGATTTCTGAGTAATATTTTAATCAACTTAAATTGGATTAAATTTAAAACAAAGAAAATTACGCAGATGTTTGTAACCGTGTGAATTTTTCCTAATTATCTTGATTAAGACAAATTCTCCCGTATTATTATTATCTCCCGTATGCGGAGAACTCTTCGAAGCAGATCAAGGTCGCGTTTCGTCACTCAACTTTGTCGCATTTTTGTTTATTTCTAGTTTTCTGGATCTACTTCGGTTTGCCTCGACTTACTTTCGATTCTTAAAAGCGCTGGAAAACTACTGGTGAGGAGGGTGTGGGGGGATTTTTTTGGCGTTTTTTGTCGCCTCGTTCAATTTTATTTCGTTTTGAGCTATTTCCAAAACGTCGCGGTATCTGTACCCGAGGCAAAGGACTTTTTTTCATAAATTTCAGTGACATAAGTAAACCTAGATGTTTCTAAAATAGCTGTTGTTACGATGATATTTCGTTAATTACATCTCGTTTTATGTTGATATATATTTTACAAGATTAATATTGCAGAGTAGATATTTAAGAACAAAACTTTTCACTTAATCTGCAGGAATATAATTACAATATGTTTATTATTTAATTTTATTACAATGAATTAGTATATGAAATTGTATATGTTATATTTGTTTACGCGGCCTTAATTGATTAATACAACAGTAGTATTGCTTGATGAGTAATACTGGCAACATCATCAACATATCCAACCATATCCTCATTGGGAAAATTATTGATTGACCCGATCTCAATAAAAGATACTTTTATATATAATAATAACATAATTAGATATAAATCCATTCAAAAATAAGAAATAATTAGACGATTTTTTAAATTGTTTAACATAGTGGATTATAACCTGTAAAAGGCGGACCGCCAGAAGAGTTAGGCACTGCAGTTTTACGATTTTAAATTTTGGAAATATATTTATTTACTATATTGTAATTAATAATGTTTTATTGTTAATTTGGGTTAACAATAAAAAACAAACAACCAATCACGGCGCGTCTCGATCTATTTCAGGAAACGTGGTAACTAATTTTTATAACACGGGCTTATATTTGAGTTTACTTCTGAAAGTATTTCCAGAAATGTTTTGCGAAATGTTTTATGAAATATTTCGTAAAACATTTCGGGGATAGTGTAGAGGCTGTTTAAAATAACTTTAGAGTTTAGAGTTATTTTGCTTTGAAAATTACAAAAAATGTAGGTATACCTACTGTT